AAATGACTACACATGTTTCCTATAAACTATGCTATAAACCTTCAAAAACAAAAGAATAAAATACTACATTGTATATAACTTGACCATAAACAGTGTATTTTTATTTTATTTTAATTTAAATTGACGTGATGGCGATATTTGAAATTATGTGCCTAACTAATCAAAAAGTATATGCGGTTGCTCTTTTGTAATTTGTAAACTTTTGTAAACTAGTGTAATTTTTGAATTTCTTATACAGTAATAATGTAAAACACTACAATAAAATAAAAAATATTCGTCATAAAATATTAGATTTGGTAATTTCTTATACACCAAACTCTATCGGCTGCTAATAATATAATCTATAACATCGATGGTTTCCATCCGCCTTTAGAAATTAACATACAGCTTAAACTTCCGGCTTCGTATTTTGTATAATTCTAGATAACAATCATAAAACCGAATTATGATAAAATACTAAAACGAATTGCAGATATCGACTGGAGTCAAGAACTATCGTGTACAGATCTATCTATAGCCTCATCAACAGATTAGTTGATGAGGCTATAGGTAGATATTTATCTAATAGTGAATAGTCTTATCCGTAACTTAGATCTATTACAAAATTCAAATGCATATCATTGTTGGTACAGTAAGAATTTGAGTATGCTGTTAAAAGAGAAAGGAAAATGTAGTCGTGTTATGAAAAAAATACAATAATAAACGAGTATTATACAATAATAAAATATGATTATAACGTACTAAAAGATAGGAACAGTAAAATTATTAAATCTTTATACCAAAATCTAATACCCTAAGGACCCTTAATACTTCTGGAAATATATTAAAGATAGAAGTAATCATCATCCTACTATCCCAAGGCAAATTATGCTCAGGAATTCATCTGTAAATGATGAAGAAAATTTTGCTAACTTATTTGCAAAATAGTAAACAGCCCAAAATCGAATAACAGTCAGTTTTCACCTCCATACGAGTATATTTCCTGTAACAGCAACTTACATTGGTCAGTTGTATATTTCTGAGTGTAGTATCGAAAAAAACTAAGGCAGCTGAGCTGAAAACATCTAAAGGATCGGGATGGGATGGTATATTACCTCTATTCTATGAGGAATTTACAGATGAGTAGTATGTCCTTTTATAAGTTGGCACGTCAAGAATATAGGTTCTGAAAAACAACATGGTTTCATTAAAAATAAATCCACTTTGACTAACTCAGTTGACTTTGTTGGAAATACCCTAACTGACATTAGTAATGACCATGAAGTTCATGTAATATATATAATAGTGACTTTGATAAAGTGGAACATAACATATTACTTCATAAGCTCTATATGATATTTAATATTGGTTGGCTAAAAACATACTTGGTAAATCGCAGAGCTAAAGTTATTGTGAATGGGTTCTCATCAACATTTTTAGGCCTTGGTCTGACGTTCCTCAAGGATCCCATCTCGTCCCAGTACTGTTTACAATATTTATAGACGATGTAAAATATTGTTTTGTCAATTCATGCTTTAAAATGTACATTTAAAAACTTTTTAAAATAGTTAAGTCTAAATATGATCAGGTTATTTTGCAAGGGATATTAATAGACCTTGCAACTGGTGTAATCCAAGATGTGTGTCGGGAATATCGGGAATATCATTTAATAAATGAAAGTGCGTCAAAAAATCTTTTTGAAACATATTACTGATATACGGCCGCTGTAATATGTTCCCACTGACGAAGTATACTTTAAGTTACAGTTTTCAGAGGAATAACAACTGCTACAATGAAGAAGAAATAACAACATCAGCGCAATTCACTTAACTGCCCTGCCCGACCTGTACAATAGCCGACGAAAAATAACAAATAAGTCATTTTTACATCTCCAACCATTAAAAAACTCTGTGCAACTAGATTATCAAATGTATTACGATAACTTACCTCATAAGGACTGATCTTAGAGATAGATTAATTTAAAACTAAATTAAACTTTTTTGTGGTTTGGTTTAAATCATGTGGTGACGGATAAAGAATACGGAGTGTCACCACCCCTACACATCCCGTGGGTGTCGTAAGAGCCGACTAAGGAAACTACGCAACTAACAGCACTGCAAAGAGAAGGAAATCTTGAAACAAACCCTATACCAACCCGTCTGGCCAGGGTGGTATAGTAGGCCAAATCCTCTTTTCTAAAGAGAGGCCTATGTCCAGCAGTGGACTATTAAAGGCTGTTGATGATGATGATGAAACTTTTTTGATTAGAAATTAACTTTGTTGTTATATTTTATTCATTTATCAAACCAGACATATCCCTGTTAATTTTTTTAATTTGCAAAAAAAGAACGAAACGAAAGACGAACAACTCCCAAATCAGGTCATTTAATTAGAAAATTAAATTGTAAAACTGCATATTTACAAAAAAAAAACTACGTATTTACCTATTTTGCACCAACGGGGTCTGCAGATTTCACAAATTCGGCATTATTTTGAAATAAGTTTTTAGTGTCTCCTGTAAAATTGACTCATTCGGATATCTAACTGCTAACCGTTAAGGAGTTTTAGTTTTCATCATCAGTTCACCTGATTGATCTTAAACAACACAACTAAAAGTCTAAACATACATATGGTATTTAAAGAACTATCCTCCAACTCAGATGATGATAACCGTTTACGAGTTGTACGTTCCATCACCAGCTCATTAACACGAGATAATCACTACCAGAAGCAAATAGTAGAATAGCTTTAGAAAATATATGAAACACATAATACGTGCCTTATAAATTTAAGGGTTGCCCGCGGTTTCCTTGGGATCCCCTCATCAGATCCTGACTTCGTGACAATGATACTACCTCATAACTATGTTCTTTCTAATAAAACAAGAATTTTAGAAATCGGTCTACAATTGACGGAGTAATCCTTGAACATACATTTGAAAAATACATACAAAGGAACATAGAGCCTCCTTCTTTTCGAAGTTGGTTAAAAAACTCAGCTATGGTTTATAGGTATCTCCTAAGGATAACCCACAGTAACCATTTTTATCTTTTATCGTCCCGGGTCGCAGCGCCAGGCAGGATCGGAGCGGGCTTATAAATATTGCATATTAAGATGCTGTATATTCCTATCATAATAATAGTATAATTAGTTACTCCACACTGACACCACATTGGTACCATCTACATTGCACCCGTGCGAAGCCGGGGGCGGGATCGCTAGTATTTTACCGCTCCGTTCCTGCCGGCGGCCGTTGCACCCGGGACGGACATGTGGCCCGACAGCGGATGTGGCGAGGGCCATTTTGCCCCCGCATTTGAAACCTGTAATCTTCTAAAAATTCATTTTAATGATATGCTGTAAAGAGCAATTTTAATTTACATTAAATGCACAATGTATCTAACGTAGTTAATTGGATAAGAAATATCACAAATCTTTGAAATTCTCGGATTTTCTCGATTATAATATGCACGTATTATACATATAAACGTTCCTCTTGAATCACTCTCTCTATTGTTGAAAATCGCATTAAAATTCGTTGCTTAGATTAAAAGATCTAAGCAAGTGCGTGCGTAATATACCAAAAACTGTCGGAAAAGTCTTGTTACACATTTTTCGGTCAAGCCCACATCCGCTAGGAGCGTGTCAAGCGCGATAAGGAACTTCGTTCCAAAAACAATGTTTAGTGTAGATTATAGTAATTTAGTTAATTGTGATATATTTTTTTTTAGTCTTTTATCTAGCCATTATTTCCTTGCTACCTTAGTTCAAATTTTAAGACCTACATATATGTGCTCGTACACTTATGGGTAAAGCTATGCTCACCTTTAATTTAAAAGCATGTGATACACATACATCTCACATTTGTCTCGCAAATTGTCTCCTTCCACAGGCACAACTATCTATAACTATTTCCTTTTTATTTTTTCTTCATTATACTATTTTGAACTCTGGTTATGAAGTTCTGGAACTTGAGGTCAAAGTAGGTTTTTCGAGGTTTTTATATCAATGGATCTATGAACGAATTTACGTTCCGTGTAGACGTTACAGTTGTTTTTTAAGTCAATGTGAACGTACCAATATACCAACATGCTGTACTTTTGGTTAAACCGACTAAAATTCAAAAGGTCCATTAGTACTTTGATGAACTGTCGATTCGTTTATCCGCGCTCCAATGGTCGAATTACGTCGTTCCTTCATTCATGGTCAAATTAATTTATGGGTTCCATTGTGTTGATAACAATAATTGAATGTTACGACTGAATGACATATAGAGCTACGTCACTTGTACTGTTCCATACTATTTATTTATATAATCTGACCGGTTACGCCGGCATTTTCAAAGGTTATTACGATTACCACAACATTTTAAATTATCTAATGTTCAGTTGTTGTTTTAATACCCTTTAACAATGCCGTGAGGCAAAACCGATCAGATTTAATAAAATTAAGTTCCACTAAGTGCCATAAGTCACCAGTATTAATAGTCTTATAGTGGCCGTGTTTAACGTAAGTTTAATGCTAAGAGATAACCAAGTAGGTTAACACATTGCAAATCTAAGCAATCCTTACCAGGTCAAACTGTGGATGGGTTACCATTTCTTAACAAATTGAAACCCTTCCGTGCCTCGATGATCGCGTTAAGCCGTGTCGGTAGGTCCCTGTTGCCATACGAAGATCTGTGGCATGTGTGGAAAAGCCTTGTTACAGAACTTCGATTTCGTCTAGTTGGGTTGTGGAGGTCTGCTATCCTAGCACGTGGCACGAAAACGAACGAAAAAATCGAAGTTCAGCCGTATCGTAGTAGACTGAAAGCTAACTCCAACCTGTTTGGGATAAAGCTCGGAGGAAGTGGCTGCGTTTAATTATTTGTTGGTCAAAATAAAAAAACGTCAGAATGAAACGTCACAAACGTCAAATGTAAGGAGCACAAAGAGCAAACAGATACGATATGTAGAATTAAATAATACAAAATTAAGTGAGATGTGTTACTGAAACTGAAATGTAAAGATAAAATTACAATGTCGGTCATAAACGAGCCAGTGTTAAACATAATTGTGGTGGGGTTTCATCATAAGAAAGGATGCCAAGTAAGTAGGCGTCGTTACTTTCATTTAATCGATAAAATATTTAAAATAGAGACAGAGGAGAAAGTTGCAGTTTTAAATTTATTTTATAAGGCTTTTGCTACTTGCTATTTCACGTTGTACGTAATATCAGTTTTCATATTAGTATTTGCATTTGTTGATTACTCAGCTTCTATCGTCTGTTAAATTTGATGTTATAATAGAGATTTTTTGATATGTATCCCTAAGATCTTGCATACATACTTTAAAGCCATATTTCTTTCAAGGTGGAACATTGCTATCCAGAATTAGTGCCAGGACACCCCACGGAGCTACCAGCAGTATGGCGACATTTGCCTGCACTGGCACTGCCAGATGGCTCACACAATTATTTGTCAGACACGATATTCTTCAACTTACCGGCATTAAGTGAACCTGCACACACTGTGTATGGTGTATCATGTTTCAGACAAATCCCAGTAGAGGTAGGTCATGCTTGTTGTTTGCATTATGCAGTTTTGTTTCTTAAATTACTTCTCCTATTTCTATCATTGGCTATGACTCTTCTTCTTAAAGAAGTTACTAAAATAAATATTTTATTTTTGCACCTACCGCATCATATTTCTACATCACCTCAAGGTTGACATGGAGAAAATGCCTCATGCCATTCAGTCCACATTTGTGCGACATGTGCATAAAGTTTAAATAAATAAATATTTTATTCAAATGTAAAGAAAATAAGATTTATGATGCTTAAGTGCCTGTGTTCAGTATGATTCATGGTTATTATTATAAACTAAAGGTAAAAAAAAAAATGCCTTTCGTTCTGTATCAAAACAAGGCAGAGACGTCTCTAAAAATAGATATCCTGTTTTATATCTTTCTTTCCTTGTATATCTGGTTAAAATGGTATTGATTTGTTTTGGCCTACAAACATTCTCTTTAACAAGATCTTAAATTTGAGCTTTTACCTCTGTAAATTGGTCAGAAAACATCCAACTTAATTAATGTATATCTCTCATTAGAAAAAAAATGGTAAAAGTATTTGTTATATTACATGCAGCAAGTAGTTCAGAAGACGGAAGATATGACACGTAGCTCAGTACAGAAAAGTGTATGTGTTGTGTGTCGTGCCCCTCTGTTTGGTCGTCTGGCAGTTAAGTTGGAGTTGGTGGTACGGGCATGGTTTCTACAAGGAAATTTTTCACAAACAAAATTACTTGAAGATGCTTACAATCATCTGAATAGTTGTCCTGTACAATTGGATCAAATTTTTGAAGGTGTGAATTTAAATTTTAATAATAAGTACATACTAGCTAATCAACAGACAAGATTTCAAGAAATTAATTTTAATTTGATAGAAAAAGCACTTCTACTTTTTTTGTACTTTTTGAGGCAGAAATAAATGCAATAAATATTAAAATGATTTTATTACTTTAATCCTTAAATTCAAATAATCCTTGTATCTTTTTAGGTTTACCGGTGCAAAGATTAGTAGAAAATTGGAGGCACAAAGCATTGCTGCTGTTTAAGCTGATGTTGTTAAGGCGAAAGGTCCTTGTATATGGTGCTCCGGCTGGACCTCTATCAACATCTTTATTGACACTGGTATCATTGTTACCACATTGTTTAGAAACTGGTCTTGAGCACGCTGCTAATGTTGTGTATGTATAATCTTTAGATAGTTGTATCTATATATGTATATGGCAACATAATCTTGTCATGTCATGTTAAAAATATTTCAGACTCTCTAGGCCATTGTCGCCAGTTCCATCAGTAATAAATGATAATAGAAACCAGGATACTGATACCATTGCGGAAATAGCAGAAGAAACCCTAGGCAGCATACAAAATGGTACAAATCAAATAGAGGAACTATCTCCAAAAGAAACTGGGAATCTGTTAGAAGAGAAAGATCGTGTTAGTCGGCAGAGCTTCGATGACACCCTGCTCACTGATGGTGTGGATAGACAAGAGCTATCAGGTGCTAGGGAAAAATGTCATAGTATTGGAGAAAAGTGTAAAACTCAAAAAGGCTTATCAGAAGCACAGCAGAGCCCAACTATGGCCAGAGATATGAGTGTTGATGGTTTATATAATCTAACTGGACAGATAGATCAAGCAGAATGTGGTCTACCACTTCCTTTATTTGAAGAAGGTTATCTTTGCTTACCATACTTATCATTACAATATCTTGATCTGTTATCTGACCCTGCTGTGCAGGGATTTCTTGTTGGCGCTTCTAATGTTCTCTTTAAACAGAAGAGACAGTTATTCGATGTTTTAGTAGAACTGAATGAAATGAGGATAGAGACAGCTGATATGGTATTGAGAAGGCAATTAACCCTTGGGACAGAGGATCTTCGATTTGCTGATCATGTAGTGCGTCACGGTCCAACTCAAGGCGACGTTTGGATAAGAGATCAGTTTGCAAGTTACTTAATTTATCTTTTAAGGACATCTCTTTTACCAGGTAACTATTAAAGATACCAGCTCTCATCACTATTTATTAATACTGTTCAATATGCTGTACACAAAAAGTGTACGTTACTGAAACGAATGGCAGCGCTTTTGCAAAAGGGCAAAAGAGATAATTTAAAAAACGAATTACCATAAACTTATTATGTTCTGACAAAATCACTTGACACAAAAGTACATCTAGATTCTCTATGAAATGGATTGGAACCCTCAGTGGCGTGCATACGTTCCTATAGAATTATTTAACTTTATCTTTTTTTATAAACTCGCGCAAATAAACATTTAATTACTGTAATCAAAATGTATTGGTATTGGTTGTGGGCTTCGGTTTCTGCGTTTAGAATAATCAAAATGTAACTTTTACTCTTAAAATATACTATGTACTGCTAGATGTCTTGTATAGTTCATTAATATAAGTACGAAAATAACTCACTAAATAAGCTAACATTATGTTTTTTTATGCTTTCAGAGGGTAGCCGCGAGATAGATTCCTACAATGCTCAATTTATGGCAGCTTTTAAATCAACACCTGCATACCAACACTGGCAACAGGCAACAAATAATGGAGAAATAGAAGCATTTATGAATCTTATGCCAATGCATCCCTTCTCTGGTCAGCTTTCAGTGGCTGACATGAAGCTTAAATTTGCTCAGTAAGTTTATTATTCAGATTATTTTAAATATGTATTTCAGCAGGTGTGTCGTTAGAGTCATACTCCAAGTCAGCGCCACATGACACATTCTCAAAGTTGGCAGTGGTCATAGAGCATTAGCCATTGCTCTATGAAGGCCACTCTCCTTCGCGTAATTAGCCATTATGCAATGTTTGTGTGAATTTTAGTGCTACCTACCCTACCCTACTATGTTAACTGAGACTTAGTATTTATAACTAATTTAGTGGTTAGTCCCAAGCCAATTTCAAGAAAATAAATAGGATAACTATATGGTACAGTTATCAAAATTCCGATTCATTCAATTGTCAAAATTTCATATTTATAACCGCATATAGGATAATTAGCAAATTCGGCACTGAGATCGTGCTAAGTTAGCTATTAGAGTCCCTCCTGTGCAAATAAGTATAAGTGAGATCGCATTTTGCAGCACAATGTCGACGACGGAAGGCGGGCGCAAGGTGACGGCGGCGGTGGCCAGCACGGGCCGCGCCGTGGCCACGACGTCGCGCGCCGTGGGCGGGGCGCTGACGCAGGCGCGCGGCGCGCTGTCGGGCTGGTGGAGCGCGCTCACCACGCCCGCCGCGCACGCCTCCAACGCGTCCGAGACCTCCTCCGTGAGCGACGACAAACCTCTCTCCGACGCCGAGGACGCCGTGGACCACATCGACGACGACAACAGGAAAGAGCAGCGCGCCGGTACACCCGAGCCGCCCGACAAATCGTTCGATGACGATACCGTTAACCTTAGTAAAATACATGTAATTTAGTCGTGTGATAATTAGTATCTTGTTATTGAATCTTTTTAGTTGGCGCCGTTGAACAGTTTTACAGTGAGTCCGAGGACTACGATAGGAATATTTATGCGAAATGTAAATATGAACACTCCAAAGCGACGAAACTCTTACTTAGATAATACTTTGAGATAATTATTCTGATGTAATTTATGCCTACGATCTGTAAACTTAGACTGTGTTTTGTATTTCACAAAGTTGCTTATATTGTTTATACTGTAAAGTAAATGTGTAGCTGTGAATACTAGGGCCTGCAATTTTATAAAAAAGTCTAATAATAGCCACAACGAAAAAAAATCAAAAATATAATGTATAATTCTCAAAGTCAATAAAATCACATTTCATTTCTTGAAATTTTCTTTATTTTTTTATTTACATAGTCATACTAAAACCATAATACGATAAAAGTGATTCGCTATCGGCAACTCCTGTGATTGGTAAGAAGTAGGAAGCCGGTGTTGATCTACGAAGCCGGTACCAAGTTATAAACTATACTTTGTACCCAGTTAAAAACCCGTTAAGCGCTGATAGATCGGCACCGACGCCCCTTTTTCTTTTGGAATACGATTTTGTTGTTATACTAATAAGTAAATATGTGTTAGTCGAGACTACTTTGGCTCGCATTTTAAAAGACGTCTCAAATATTGGTTGAACTCAGATTATCTGAATTTAGTTTTAAGTTCAGATCAAAACTTAAGCGTCGATCTTTTTATAAAACGCGTTTTAAGTTTTACTCAGTGGAATCTCAAGCACTGATTTGAACTTAGTCTATTTTCAATTACCTTTCCACATGATATATATTTCCTTTTTATTTTGTATAACGCAGCTAATTATTTAAAAAATATGCTATAAAGGAATATTCAAGTTATTTATTAGCATCTGTTAAACCGTGTTTTTTTATAGTTCTAATAAATTTTTATTACTAGAATAATATTATACTTTAGTCATAAACACAAAAAGGTTGTGGTGATTTAAATAAGTAATTGAATGAGACTTTAAGTAAATTGAATATCAATTAAGGTAAAGTGAAGTGAATTGGTTTTATGTATGACAAGTATTTTTTTCGTAAACAAAGTAAAGTGAATCTTTCCTAATTATTCAGAAACAAATAATGGTAAAACTGTTTATTTCCCGTTTAATACCCTAGAAATTGCAGCTTGAGACTAGTTTCAGCTTGTCTCACGTAAACAAAGATCACGTCTATCAAAATCTATATTTGTGTTAAGATTTCGACATAAACATCGTTCTAAAATAAGCTATCCCTCACTTGAGTATGGATTAGTGAATCTTGTTGACGTTTAATAATAAAATCTCTACTTAAAATCAGTTTTAACATTAGATTCATGAGTTCACCTTTCATCTTTTAAAATACGGGTCTTAATGTCAGATTATTTCTATAAATATTCTATTTTATATTTCCTATGTGCTTAAGGTAACTATTGAATTTAGTAAGTTTAAATACAATTTGTATGTATATATTGGAAATTTATTGTAGATATAGTATATATCAGCCTGCGCTGAAGTATGTATACCTAGTTTGTGATCTCTAGAACTTAGTTCGTTATTTATATTCTAGCGTTACTGTGTAAATTATACTGATGTTTCACTTTTGGAGCTATAAAACTTAAACAATGTACTATGTTTCATTTTTAACCATGGTTTACCAGAATTCAGAATATTTCAATGTTTTAAACGCTTATGGTATCACATTAAAGTATGATAAATGTGACACGCGCAATGCTTTCAGTCTGAGCCGAGTATGTTGATGTTACAGGTATATATGGTGAATTATAATGTTTATTTCATATTTTGACAAAATTTAATGGCCCATGGTGTTTATTATAATGATGTAATTTAAACTTGATACTACATTACAATAATTGTAATAATTATAATAGTGGTTAGTTTATAACTGACATTAAATGCAATCGGTCAATACAATTAAGAAAGTCAAATTCCTTAATGCTTTTTTCAATGGTCCTCTTCCATCTTTTTTTAAGTACTTTTATACTCCTCAAATAATATAAGGCCAAGCTTACACAAAAAAATGCTTTCCTACTGGAAATGCGGACCTAACGGTCAAACGAATAACGCTGACGCCTCTCTTGAACATAGAAGGCGACGATAATTAGCCGGCAGCTCCTCTGTCATACTAGTAGTACAAAGAATCACACGGCAGAGTCGGGCTCGTCCCACGGCCAAGGCGGGTCCGAGTCCAACGCGTCCTGCCGCCACAGCCCCCGGCTGCCGTCCGACGTACCGTGCGCCAGCAGCCGCATGTTGTACGGCTCCATCATATTGGACACCGACACGTCGCTGTCCGAACGCTGCGGACGCGCGTTCGATGTCGAGCGCTCGTCGGTCTTGCCGGCCGGCATCAGGTCGAAGGCGGCACCCGTGTCTCGCGGCGAATCTAGCTCCGTCATGTCGGAGCGCGGCGACAGCTCCGCGCTCAGGGTCGCGTCTCCGGGACTCGATTCGCCCGCCTCGCCCCCTCCCGCGATCGTCGAAGCGTCAGAGAGCGGAGACGAAGAGGAGGGATGAGTCACAACCGTCAACGGCGCCTTCGTACCGGGCGGCGACACGAGCGGCACCGATTCATCGTCGCTGGGTTCGTCTCGCGGCGGGCTGCGCTCGCGAGAGCCGCCCCCGCGCGACATGATCTTGTCGCGCAGCCGCGTCAACCGCTCCGCGGAGCTGACTTTGCGGAGGATCTCTGCGGTACGGCGAAGGCCACGAAGTTTGATATCGAGGATCGGTGAAGTGGAACGCGTGGAGTCTTCGACGGAGTGCGAGCGCGCGCTGAGCGGCGGGATGACGGGCGCGTCCTCGGGCGCCACGAGCAGCGACGAGGGGCGGGAGCGGCGGGGCGCGGCGCTGAAAGTGATGTGGCCGTCGTCGTCAGAGTCCTGTTCGTTCTCGACGTTGAAAGTGACAGCGGGCGGGTCGCCCGTGGCGCGGCGCGAGCGGAAAGAGCCACCGCCCTTGAGGATGGAGGGGTCGCGGCGCGAGGGGCGCGGGCTGCCGGCTGGTGTGGCGCTCCGCGACCCGAAGCCCACGGTCTGCACTTGCAGCGTGCTCTCCTCGTCTGAAATGGATACTGTAGTTATTAAGCCGGAGGTTAAACGAGTATGCGAGACCCGGCATCGGGAACGGTGAAGGATGTGGATTTGGAAATGTTAGGAATCACCTGCGCGATCTCGTAAATTCAGAGCGGCTCTGTTCCCGTGCGAGATGTCCGAGGTCCTGCCTAAAGGGAGGCGGGATTGAAATAAAATCAAACTACGTTTTGTAACTGTTGTATATTTATTTGAAAAACCTTCGAAGAAGAGGAATGATACATCCGATCAGTGCTAGTGTAGGAATTACGGAGCACGTTCTAATCTCGGTTCTAATATCACAATTTAATAATTTAATCTTACTACAATCTACAAAATGTAACATCTAACTAATGCATAACACTTTTTTAGATATGTTAGAATTGCCATCTTAAAAAATATTCAAAATGCAGTTCACAACAGTGAATTACTGCAAAATTTATTCAGTTATATAAGTATCAAAAAAAAAAATAGATACTACATAATATGTCTTTTTCATGGAATAAAATCACACTATGGATTATTTCCCTAACAAACTTTACAACCTGTACACGTTTAAAAACCTTACTTTACTTAATTTCATGGCACCTCAATATTTAACCTTACAAATCTTATGAGTAAATACTGAACTTTTGTATGATATTGAGTATAACTTATGAAATGTACATAAAGAAATAATGAGTTCTCCATGACCAATTTTATATTACTATGTTAATATTCACAACTTTAAAAATAATAAGATCCCACATTATTTTATGCCTGTTGGTATTTAATGTTTTGGAACAAAACATTCTTTCTTCTGTCCTCATTTTTGGTGCAACGCTTATCATTAAAATTAAATAAATATTTTTAAATAAAGGAATAAAAAAGTAACACAGCCTAGGTAGTACTAATATTTAAGTAATGGTGCATATTGCTGGAATGCAAAATTTAACCAATATGAATTTATCAACTATAGACAAAAAGTTAAAGATAACCTTTTGAGAAAGTATAGTTCATGATGATTATTTGATACATTTATTTGTTTCCCCCTACACGACTTGTATGTACTAGTGATTTAAAAACTCATTAAATTATATTGTGTAGGTACAAAGGGGTGGCTACAAGCATTTCTTTTATCATCTGGACAGATCATACATTTGAATTTTTATTTAAATATATAATTTTAGTGCTCATTTGAACAAAAATATTCTAATAATATGTTTCATACATTAGCAATACCTTCAATTATTTGCAAAACGATTACATCTTTGTCTTTACATGAGTAATCACTTTCTTTCTTAAAAGTATTGGAAGACCGGATCATACAATACATATGATCTAAGCTTTAAAGCGGATGATATTCATTACATTAACTCAAACAGTTTGTATAAAAGGTTATTGATCGATTTATTTTTAGATCGGTCACTCCCTCAGCCTTGTAAAGCCACTTCATAATAATACATTTCCTATAAATTTTGCTTCTATCGACAATGTAATGTATATCATTGCTTATATTTCAGATACAAAAACAAGATGTAAATACTTATATTTAAAATTTTACATAAAGGGTGATTCGCATAGTTTCGAACATAGCCAACTTTAGCTCTTAGGCATTGTTTACCAAACGTACGTTTAGGTATAAAACATAAGTACATTTAGACTAATTCAATATTGCATTGAGATATCACCTTTAGCATTGATTGAAACGCCTATACAGCCTTGAGCTCTAAAAAATAAGTACAAAACATTGAAACAACTATGACTTGAAATAAACTTTTGTAAAATTGAGTGTTCGTTGTATATTACTGTTTTGAAAATAGACCAACGAAGCAGAAAGCATTGTGTTCCTAGAAATACGATCTTGGAGTCGGTTTTTCAGATTTGTTTGCAAAACTATTGCGTGAAGACATCATCACCGAAGTTAACTATGACGTGGTCTGTGGTGGTACGGTGTGGCTCCAGTTCCTCGTCGGAAGATTTGGGAGATGGGGGTTGAGGTTTGTCGGAAAGGGCGGAGTCGTCGAAGGCAGAGGAGGGCGGCGGGTTCTCGCGGATGGTGCGGAGGGGCTCACCTGGGTGGGAGGGGGGCTCCGACTGTAGCACGTCCTCTAGCGCCTCCTCGTTGAGTGTCTGCAGTGCTCCGCAGATCATTTGCTCCTCCAATGTTACCTGATAATATCAATTGAGATAAAAAATAAATGTATAATAACGAAAATAATATAACAACGAGCCTGTTGGTCTAAAGGTTAGGTTAGTGACTGCTTAGCCAGAGGTCCTGGGTTCAGTTCCCAACCAAGACAAACATTGTGTGACGAGTACGATTATTTATTTTGTGTCTGGGTGTAGTTTATCTACAATATGTATGTACCTATTAAGAAATGTATACGTATGTTTATCAGCAGTAGTTAGTACAGGCTATTCCTAATTTGAGTTCACACAGTTGTGTGTGAGATATGTCGAGATTTTATTGTTGAAAAACTATTTTAGCATACGTGTGTTCTAATTTGTAAATTTGATAGACTGTATCTAATCTAATACATTTAAACGAGCAATTCTTGTATACATATAATCTGAATCTCAGAAACGGCACCAACGATTTTCAAGAAATTTAGTATGCAGGTTTCAGGGGCGATTAATCGATCTAGCTAGGTTTCATTTTTCGAAAATTTACCAAAAAAAACAATACCGGGCAAAGCTCGGTCATCCAGGTACTATATATATATATAGGTTATTAGCATGAATTTACAAAACACAAAAGAAAAAACAAATCGCTCATTTTTAAAACTGCATAAATTCTCTGTCATGTTTCAATATATTTTCATCATATTTTTCCGATTATTTACTAATATACTACATTATCCATTTTTTTTTCATTTACAGCAGACATTTATAATACATGCTCATTCTATCTAGCGAATATCAACTAGCAGAAAACAATGGAATGTAACGTAAATGTTTTATTGCATAAAAATATGTGTAATCTAGAGAACAGGCAGGAATGAATCTAACATCCTATGGTGTACATTTAAGGTTTGATATGCATTACTTCTTGATTCCGTCAAATGTTTTTGTGATGTTTTGAATACCATACATGTAAGAATGACTTGCTATGATGTAAATATTCTGATTTTATAAATCATAAATAGGCAAAGGTTGGCCATTGCCATTTAACGCAGCAATACAACAAGAGTGATGGGCACCTTTCCACTGGGAACGATCAGGGACGGGATAATTTAATTGTCTTTAAAGTGCGTAAAGTAATGACTTAGTGCGTAAAGTACTAAACAACTGTTGTGTATATCATACAATGAGTTATTGCTGCTAATTCTGTTGTTGACACAACTAAACTGAAATGTATCTTAAATTCTCTTATTTTAGTGAGGCGATTTCCAAAATGCTATTCTGGTGTCAAGTCGAACTAAATTTGGTGTTCATTAACACAGCATTAAATTTGAATCTGACATCACTAAAAATTAAAAAGGAAAGTGTTCCCGTTGTTTGAAATTAAGAATGAACGATAAAGAGTGAATATAAAAACTCTTTTGAAATTATTTTATTAGCATTTTAAAATTCATGTCAATGAAAATTAATGCATGTTATTAAGTCTCTGAAACATCTCCTCTGCCATCACAAATGGATTGGAGTTGTCTTGAATATGTTTAAAGCGTAGTTTCCAAAAATAATACGTATTTGTAAGACACAATAATCCAGATAAGATACCTACATGAGAATAATAATATAATATTACATATAATATAATAAATCTATAGTTTGAAAAAAACATTGATCGGTGTACTCAAATAAAATTATGACTCCAGCTTTTAGTAGCAATTATGATTTAAGATGAAAAATATGATGCCCATACCTTTTCGTTTAACGGCCCAGAGGCAAAACATGTAATCGCTAGGCATCATAAAAGAAATCCACAAAATTTAAACAATTTATACTTAAACAGTATAATCAATAAATTAGTCGGCATTTTTTTAGATAACGTCTAATTTTAGTCTGACATTTCAAATTTTAGTCAATCTTTGACGATTAGAATGTACAACAGAATAGCAAATGGCCAATTATGGACTAAATAAAGTTATTTAACTAATTTTGGTTCTAGCAAATTAAATATAATTAAGTCCTACGTTTTCAGAATATGAAACTTTGTTTGACAGGACTTAACTATTTTTTAGTGATTTTTAGAGAGTTTTCAAAGAACAGAATTAGCACCATTGTACTTATAAGTTTGGGTTTCATCATAAATACGGATAGATGTAATTTGTGTTCCTAATATTTGAGGCCCGTAAAAGCATTAATTGCTTTTCAAATGTCACAATTTAAATCTAGATTTATATGAGACTGTTCTCACGCACCAAGACGAGAGAGAGACAAGAGAAGTTATTTTGTCTTGACAAAAATATTCATTCACGAGAAAAATACAGTAAAATTGTCTTTAGCTTTTAAATTAGGCACGGGCAAAAGACATTCCTGTAAACACAGAATACTAACAAAGATAGCAACAATAAAATAAGTGAGTGAATACACAATGAAACGGTTTTGTATAAAAATAAAAAATAAACTTTATGCTTTTGCTTGCAATAGGTACATATTTGAAACAAACAAACTAACCAAAACACATATTTAAACGTGTAGTGCATTGAACGAATATTAACGTATTATTATTTTAATAATCACCTGATATTCCGCGTATGGCTGTAAAATATACGATTTGCCATAAGTTTTGGTTTTAAAAATACTTTAGAATTATACAATATAGAACATATGCAAATCAAGCGCTATTTGATTTTAATTACCTGCTTCTCAACATTCGATGGTCGACTGCGTTGATGCTCCATTGCAGGTCTGGGTTTAGTCGAATCCAATTCCACTTCAGCTGGTTTTTCCGTTAAAACTGAGAAGTAAATTTAATTTGAATATTTATAATGTACAGTTGAAGTAGAATGTTCTAATGGATTTGTTTTTATTTACCTGTTACGGTGGGAGCACTAGTTGGCATGTTGGCTTCGAGCTCGCGTAGATTGACAATGAGCAATTTGAATAACTCCCAGTCGCCGAAAGGCAATTCTAGGATCTAAACAGAGAAAATGTTAAAATGTAGAAAAAATTATGACCCGGCAGCGTCCATTGAACATTCTCTCGACTATAATAGTTTTAGGTGACCGTGGCTCAACGGCCTATGTTGGGACGCTTTGTTTGTGTATATTACGCTCAAAGATCGAATATGCTTATTGAGCGAAAAAATTGCTATCAACATGTTTTAGTTAATCGCAGAAAAACCTCACAGCAAAATCGTGTTGTTGCTAGCATGTTATTGGACGACCGCAAAGTATTGTGGCAATGAAGAAAAGCTATTACGCGCATGGAGCTATATTCGTTACAACACAGTACTTTGCAATACGTGTCCTACTAGTCTCAAAGCTTTTCGGTAGATATCTTTAGAAAGTATTTATTGTCCTGTAAAAACTACCATACAGACAATGCACATAATGCTCTTTCTGCTGTTACAAATGAAAATCGCTCCATAAGGTATTTACCATTATTTAATACATTATTTAAAAAAATGAGTTATTGAAATAAAAGGAAACTTGGTATGTATTTTCATTTAATTTCGCTCGATGAACGTTTTCGGTCTTTGAGCGCGAAATATATACTAATCTGCTTGAGAATTTATCTGCTTGTACTAGTTAGTAGTTGTCGGTAGTGGCGAGGAGGGCGAGGAGGGCGAGGAGGGCGAGGAGGGGGCAGTTACCGGCTCCAGGTCGTCGAGGCGGCACACGGCGAGCACGAGGCCGCACACGCGGTGGCGCGCGAGCGCGGCGCAGGCGGGCCCGGCGCCCGCGCCCAGCGCCGCGCGCACCACGTCACTCGCGCGCTCCACGCTCAGCGTCGACAGGCGAATGTTGGTCACGTCACCCTGTAATGCATACTTCTCATTATACTTCTGCCCGTAAATACTGATACGATTAAAAAAAACAATGAATGTTCATTGTTTTCTCATTTTCGCACTGATCGGTGTTAAATATTTTTGTGATATTAAAATGGAGTGGGACGATAAAGAGAACCAAATTACTGTTGCATTGCACAAAGTAGGTAGGGAGCCGAATCCAATTTTCGAAACTCTATATCCGCTTGATCGAATGTTTGTGTACTGGACTATCGATAGGTATCGTCATCGTCGACAGCCTTTAACAGTCCACTTCTGGACATAGGCCTCTTCTTAGAAAGAAGGTTTTGGTCTACTATCCCTCCTCTGTTTGAGGCAGCAATAGATAATAATAATAATACTTTATATACGCAAAGATATACATATTTGAAAACACAGTTGATAAGAATTTACAAATTTTGTATTTGAGATGTGGAACTCTGCCCCTTAAAGTAGGTGAATTACGATACATTCGTACGAAAAAGGCGAAGCAGTGGAGGAAAGAATTCGAAGGAATCCTGTCCGAAAGCAAAATATTTTATCTGGAGAACCATGTTGTGTATTTTAAAAGATGATTTAGGACTTGCAGATTATTAAAGACGCACTGGTCATTTTATAAATAATAATTTAAAAATGTTTTAAGATCAAAACAATTTCTTAAACGGTACGCAAAGGGAGATCACAGAAAAAAAATATTTACTAACAACATTTTTTTTACAATTGTACAATACATTCAACAAGCAGAATGACCGAGTTTATACTCAAAGCTCTATAGAAGCTTCCCGATTCGTCAGCAGAGTACAATGTGGGCATTACCCGATTCTAGTCATAGTTAGGTTGAACGCTACCTATCAAGGAGTGACTGAGCCATATTTCTGAGAAAAAGGTGTCAAAACATCGACACAAATGTATCAAAATACGATTCTTCAGAAGGTGGTCAAGCTTTTTAACAATAAAATGTTACATAACCAAGAATGGTCCAGTAAGACTCAGCACCGGGTAATCTCGCTCCACTCAATTGTGGTTGGAAACGAACGTTCCCGTCATCTAGTCCCATCTTAATCCGTTGGATTGGATTAGTATGGTCAGTTTTAGAGAGTATTGCATGCTCTAAAGGCCATGATTATTTAGAGTCCCTAAAACAATCCAGAAGATTGTCAGTAAAGACTTTTCCCATGGAAAGTGCGTGCTTCAATTATTAACTTGATTCAATGTTATAAAGGACTGTAACAAAGCTTTATAAATTTTTATGCTATTGTAATAATGTGTAAACTAACACACTTTACAGTAAAACCGTTTTATACTGTTCAAAAAGGATTATTCCTTGTCACAATATTTATTTCAAGATTAGGTATTGTCATCCTCGCTACCTAATCCACTTTTTAAAACGAATGTTGAATGGAAACTCATATTAACGCTTCTAGTATACAGGAACGAAAATGTAATTATTAAAATCCTTACATATCATAAAATAAAGTCCCCCGGCCGCGTTTGTCTGTCTGTAAGAACGCGATAAACTCAAAAACTACCCAACGAATTTTTGTACGATTTTCACCAACAGATAGTGTTATTCCTGAGGAAGGTTTAGGTGCATAATTAATGTTGGTTATATGTAAATTGACTGAAATTATAGCGATCATAATTATTGTTGAAGAGGTCGCAAAAAATCTTATGCTCATAAAATATAAACCGGTCGAAAAAAGGATCACGGTTATCGAAATCTGACGAATCTGCGGGCGGTAGCTAGTTTTAAAGATAATAATATAATTTTTTTTAGTTAACATCTTAACGTCAAATCCGCTTAATTATTTTTACTGCCAAACAAAATATAAATAGACATGTGTTCATACCATACATGTTATCATCTTGCGCAAATTTTATAAAATTATAAAAATACAAACCATAGAAGGGAAAGCCAGACGCAGCATGTTATACGGATTCTGTGCTTGCACCAGTTGCTGCGACTGTTGAAATTGTTGCTGTTGCGGTTGAAACTGGGACTGTTGGTGTTGTTGAGCGAACTGCTGTGTCTGAATAGGTTGTGGCATATACCCACTGCTTCCTGCGTTAGCCCAACCTACCCACATTTGTTGTGCAGGCATCGTACCTGGCGGCTGCGGCGAGCGCTAAAATATTATTATCAGATAAACTCTCTCACTTAAGAACTTCACAGGGCTATAAGCTATTAGAAAACGAATTGAGTATAACTATATTCTCGGAAAATAGAGTGGCCTCGATGGCCAGACGTAGAAGACATTCCTCCTCAATATAGGTTGCAGACAGGGAGTTTTTGTCCAAGAAACCCTAAGTACAGTTTGATTCCTAGACATCATATCGGTGGGACACAATTGTTACACGACTGCCCAACAAAGAAGTGTAATGTTTTTAGAGTTCAGTTCACGTGTACACATATGAGTTTCTTCATTCTAGTTCTTTATTATTTTATTTTGGGTGCACATTATCCGGAGTAGCAGTTGATTAAATCAAGATGACGCTGTATCGAGCGTATAATTAGGTTTTTAATATTTTTTTTAATATCAGTTTAAGACTTGTAGATGTTATTAAAAGTGGTCATTCGATACATATGTATTGAATAAATACTAATTTTACAATGTATATGAAGTGCTTACATGTTTCCTTTGAAATAACTTGGAGTGTGGTTGTCTATGCTGTTGGTTACCAAACATGGCACCTGATACTGCTCCTCCTGCACCAAAATCTTCTTCCACACCTGCTTGATGTTGCTCTTCTGAAAATTTTGCCACATCAAACATTACGTCAAGTATAGTCCTCACTTTCAATTTTTAGAAAATATTAAAATGATGGATAGTATCACATAAAAATTGTGTTCCTTCCAAAACAAATGTTTATTAGGAAAGTAGTAAAATAGTAAAAATATGTCGGACATCTGACACACAAAACCGTCTAGTTTCGTACTAAGCACAGCTTGTATTACGAAAGCGAGATTGACTGATAGAATAGTTTTTTTTTTGTAAAACTTCGAAACAAATATTTGCATATCATACAAACATTTGGCCCGGGAATTGAACCCGAGGCCTCAGTACAGCAGTCGCATAACTACTGCACCACTGAGGCAGTCAATAGACGCATTAAGTGTCCAATTTTTATGTGTAAATTACTGATGCCACATGTAGAACACCTTTGAGGCGGAAGATTTCTTATCGTACCTTTAATAACCTTCTTTATGTACGGGTCCAAGTTGATAGTGAAAGGCAAGAATATCTTGAGATCTGCGGCGGTTAGCGTAGAGCGATGGAAGTTTAGAAACACTTCCAACTTGCGTTCATCTCGGTCCAACTCCATTAGGGTGCTCGCCTCTCGAAGGCCATGCATTAGCGGCCTAACTCTGAAAAAAATATTGAGCTAGGTATATAAAAAAATAGTTTTTTATACACCTAGGACCTACAACTAGGACAATCTGCCCATTCTCAACAGTAGATACATAAAAAAGAAATAGTTTCGTTTAGTACTCTTAATATTTATAAATTATAGGCTGAAACCGGTCTGCGTCGCAGATTATTTTGCAAATAGCTTTTTTTTTAACAGAAAAATAAATTATTAACAAAGTTATGTTCCAAATAGTATCTAAGCTAGCTTCAGCTATACACCAATTTAAAAATACAATGTTTGCGATAAAAAGTTAATTTTTTGTTTACAATTTTTGCTACATTTTTTGTGAAAAAATGACAATAATACAAATAATTTAAATTAATGAAATAAATAAGAATAAACAAAGAGGTGGTAGACATCGAAATACTTACTTTTCATAAATATTTTTTAATGAAGTTGAATCATCAATATGTTCTTCATACGTTTCGTGATGGTAGATAATCCAAGAAGTGCGAAAAGGCCATTGTTCTGTTAAGTTCACCCAAGATGCTAGTTGATACCAATTAAACTCAATTTGGAATGCCTTCAGAAGACGACCTACATGAAAGTATAATGAACATAAGTAAAAAGGAAAAGTGTTTTAAAAAGACACAGTCGTGTTTGTGTGTAAAGTGGTGAATATTTATCACTAGCTGACCCGGCGAACTCTGTTCCGCCTTAAAGGCAATAAATAAGCCGATTTTCGAATTTAGTAAGTTAATTTATTTCTTAGAAAAAAAAAGAAGTACATTAATCATTTATTATTGTTTCTGCATTTCAGTACATAGGTTGCTCTTCACTTAAGTACCTTGTGATACACGACATTTTTTGTTTTCTTATCAGGCGCAAAAACACACAACGCAGATGGTCTTCCGACCAATACTCAACGTTGCAATGTGTCTTTAACGTTTTAGAAATAAGTGGCGAATATGGAACAATCTAATTGTTGTTGACAACGAAATCCATTCTTTTCACTTTTGTTGTGACAGTTCCACCGTTGTCATCTGGTGATCGACGCCGATACAAAAAAAAAGGAATAAATAGTATCCTATGTCCGTCTCCTGGCTCTGAGCTACCTCCTCACCAATTTTCAGCCATATCGGTAAAGCCGTTCTTGAGTTATAAATAGTGTAACTAACACGACTTTCTTTTATATATATAGATTTTAATACACACGAAAATCACATCAAACTTATTGAAGTGAAAACTTCTTTAGGCGCGTTGGGCATTTTTGAACAACAAACAAAATAATGTTTTTTAGATGGGAAAAACCATTGATCTCGCGACACTGTTACCGTTACCGTTCCCGACACCTCTGTATATAAGTATGTACATATTTTGGCCGCGTTTACACGAGAGTTGAGTTTGGGTTGAAATACATTGATAAAATAACTATATATAATATAAAAATATTATATATAGCTCGTTCATTCATTCTATGTCGGAACTTTTGGAGTAAAAAAAACTTTTTTTTTTCTGTTATACTAAAAAAAAAGTTTTCACTTCTGTCGTCCCTCTCGGAGGGCCACTGTTTTTTATTTAAGATTGTTCTGTATGTATGTAAAATTTCTTACTCTACTATTTAATGCAAAAGGTTTTAGGTATCCGTGGGAGAGGCATGTTTTGGCACCAATGGGGAGTCTGGTTTTTAAGGCTTCTTAAGTTCTTAAACTTAGTAACTACTGAGTTTGTCGTTGCAGTTAAATTTGGTCACGGCGATGTGATGTTCATAATTTTGAATAGGATCGCAGAAGACTTTTTTAATATCGCTTTGATGGTGATGGTTTATGTCGGATGTTAAGGTGATCGGTTGCCGATACCAGTAAATATATAGTCGTTTGCGCATCGCTAACCGAGGCTTTCCTATGCAGAGTTCTGGCAATGTAAATACAAAATATTGTCTTTTGTGGTTGTGACTCAGAGCAGCGCCTTGTTCTATGGAAGTGTTAAGCAGATTCTTTGCTTAGGTATAACGATCGGTGAATATAGAAATAAAAAAGAACCTGTTATATATAGTACGTTCATAAGTCGTCTCATGCTAGTAGGGTTAACGTCGCTGAAGTAGTCGTCAGTCAACAAGACCCGGCCCAGGTCAGCTGCGCCCGCGCCGCTCGCGCCGGCGGCCCCGCGGTGCAGCCCCGACGCTACGGACGAGGCGACGGACTCCGACGGCCGCAGGCGACGCTCGCGAGCCGCTTGGCCCTTGATACGCTCTTGGCTCGACATTAGTTCTGATGTTGAAGATAGGCGGCGCGCAGACACCTGGAACAGATACGGTATATTATGCGTACCCGGCGTCTCTAAACACCTGAAATGTATCTGAACAAAGTGCCGGAGTCGGTTCAACTTTATGGATTGTATTGTCTTTTGTACGCGAAAATGTTACTCAACAAGCCGAATTAATTACCTAACCAAAAATCGTTCGATACCAAATGTATGTATGATATCTCCAACTGACATTTTACCTACATAAACACATAACGCATAATAGCTTGCTGTAAATACTAAAATATGAAAATGTAACTTAGTAGTTAATTAGAGCCATAAAGACTCATAAACAATTACAAAATCAAGTCAAGATAAAATAAATTAGTTTCGAGATATCATGAGTTAAAATTTCTCACTCTACTATTTAATGCAAAAGGTTTTAGGTATCCGTGGGAGAGGCATGTTTTGGCACCAATGGGGAGTCTGGTTTTTCTGAGTTTGGTTTTGGTTTTTTGTTTTATTTTTACTTACTTCGAAGTCGAATTAATTAATTTTAGCTTGATATATTTACCAATACAGGCAATAGTGCAATAAAAACAGACAATGCATATAAACATATGAAATTTCACATCATAAATTTATCAACATTTGATTCCGGATTCTCAAGCGTTACACTGAAGTAAATGAGGGGTTCTTTGCGGACATCTTAACGAAATGTTACAAAAACAAACTCACGGATCTCTGCAACGAGGTAGAAAAGTCATCAGCAGCGAGTGCCTGAATCCTTCTCGTGGCAGTTTGTTGAGCAGTCTTTACTCTGCGTAGTGCTGAGTTTTGTAGGTAGAAAGGCAGCTGCACCATGTTGCGCAGAAAGTCCCACCCACCGATGTTGCTCTCGGAGAACGCGCGACGACTGTTTATCTCCACTGCCTAATTAAATATAGAAACATGTATGGAATATGTATGGATACCGAGAATGCCCATTCACGGTATTCACGAAAAATAAGTTCAATGTAGGACACGGCCAGGTCTGTACCAACAAGATAGATGAAGGATTAGTTAATGTGAAATGTAAATATTTACATTAATTAATATTAAAAGTGTATTAAACCTAAGCAGATACTTGTTAACATGATATAAATCAATATGTTATTTTAGTTCTCATGTAAGTTGTATAAATTATCCTATTATTAAACAAAACAGTGAAACAAAATTCATAAATAAATAAAATATTTTTACAAAACAATTAATAGATTAGATTCGTGCAACAAAACATTATGGCTATATAAAATACAAGTAACACAATTTATTACGTAGGTAAGTTCATGCAGTTTATATATGACATACACACAGAAAAGGGAGCTTCGTACAGAACATCGACTTAACAACGCTAAATGGAACGGGATAACAACAAACATTATGACCGTTTTATAACTGACCTCCATCCAAGCAACCTGTGTGGAATATAGTTCTAATAAGATCATTTTTCTTTAACATGTATCGTTATATAATAGTAAATTCACTAAACAGGTAAAATCAATCAGATAATTATCAGAAGAAGTCGCTGTTTAATTATTGAAGCTTTTAGTAACGTAATAAGTAGATATATTTATGTTGTGTTTAAACAAAAGTTACAAGCTTAACATAAAGAACAACTGTTATTGTTACGTTCTGAAAGTTCTCGTACATTCGTGATCCTTCTATGCGACAGGCCCGCCCTATATACACCCGTTGTAGACACATCCTAGTGCTACCATAAAACAAGTAAACAAGTGCGAAGCGTAGCAAACAGTACGAGCGAATATCAGTGAGAAATGTTGTTAATTGCGGATTATTGTTACTGTAATTAATTTTAAAAAATTGTGTCCTTTTCGAGTATTGATCTTTTCATAAATTCCAGTTCGTAACAACATTTTAAATATTATAAAGGCGGTCTTTAACATACAAATATAATTCTCATATATAAGTTCAATGTAATATAACCGAAGTAATATTATTAGTTGAGACGTTTGTTTCCTTCAGTTAACTGAATTAAAATAAGTATGAACAATATATACCTTGCTTATAATATGTGGGTCTATTGCAAGAAGTAATATGAACGGACTCTTGGCGTCTGAACACAACGCGTAGACGGCGTTGAGCAGCGCTAGCACCTTCTCTTGTTCGCAACTGTCCAGGGCATCGACGACTACCACTAGACGTGTTTGTTGACCGGTGAAAGCGTCGAGAGATGACACCTTGACAGGATATTAAAAATAATGTTATCTTTTATATATCGTGAACATATTTGTACGAATGGGTCGTACAAATATGTTCTAGAGTTTGGTGCAAAAATATATATAATAAAAAAAGAAAATAAATGAATGACATTTGCAACAGAACACAGAGTGAATAATATGTCTCGTTAAAAGAGCAAGGTATTATACGTTTGAGTGTTTAAATTTTAGGTAATTTCTATTGCCATTTAAATTTCACGTATAAATCTTTACCATTACTTGTAAATCAAAAAAGGATTTGCAACAAAAGAAGTATACGTACGACGTGCGTGAGCGCCTGCACCTCGGGGCGGAGCGCGAGCGTGGGCGCGCTGGCGTGAGCGCGCGAGCGCGTGGCACGGGCGAGTCGCGCGCGGGGGCCCAGCGCCAGCGCGGCGAGCACGCGCCCGCACGTGTACAGGTTGGCGAGCAGCGCGGCGCCGCCCACTGCGCACGCGCCTATCATCAGCCCCTGTTGGATTTCACGCCGCCTGATCGACGACGACCCTCGGTCGTTGAGCCGTCGCGGTAACAACTTCACATACTTATATCTACTACTACGGGCTATCGTCTAGTAAACTACGTTCTAGTTATGAAACGTTCTCATGCTGACCGCTACAGCGTGCCTATTGGAAATTGTCTACACAGATGTAATATGTTTTTTCTGAGTTTGGGATTATTCTCATTTCCTATCCTAATACTAGATAATTCTTCATAAAATACTGTTCCTACCGACAATAGGGAATATGCACGTGACACCAAAATGGATAAAATATTTTTATTTGTAATTTTTATTGCTAAAAAAAGATACCCATACAATTATTTTTGAAATTTATTATAATTTAATAGTGAAATTTAATGATCAAAAATTGGCTTTTTTAAGATTCCCTCGCAAATTTCTAAAACGCAACACTATTGGTTGAATAAGACGTGACGTCAACCTACACTGTCAAGAGTGTCAACAAGTTGTGTGTATTTGTAATATTTGGTTTCTGGTGATTATTTGTTTCATTTTAAGTTAATAACTAATACGTTTTCAGTGTTAAATTATTAAATTCCCGTGTACAAAGACTCAACACAATGACTGAATATACTTTGTCAGGTGCAGTTTTGATATTATTTTGGCACAAAGGAACGGCACAATATTTATAATAAGTTTTTATTGGCTTGTCCATGGTAATAAGTTAATTTATATCACTCACTTTTTTAACTTTCACAAACTTTGTGAACTTCACTCTGTTGTTGACATCGAATTCGTCTGAAAGTGTAATCTCAGATTCAGTCACAAAAAAAGCGCGCCAAAATGGACGTGTTCAAATTGCCCCAAAATGATAGTGATATTAATAAATTTTTTTTTGCTTAACGGTTTATATTTCGGATGTGTTATTTTTTTTTTTTGGTAATGTAATAACGAGTAGAATCGTTTAAAAAAAAAAAAACATGCATATTCCCTATTGTGAACACAGCATACTACATGAACATATAATTTTATTCAATGACAATGAACGGGTTTATCGCTAAAATAGATTGCTTCTAGGCCACCTATTTCTATATCAGTCATAATATCTTTCAAATGATTTAAGAAGCAATTACTTTTGTAAAGTTTGAATCTCAAATACAGTCTAAAAACAGTATTTAATCGTAACAGAGGTTATAATAATTGTCAATTTCTTGATATTCATAAAATTTATATTAATGTCTAAATCACATAAGGAATGTAATAATAATACTCACTGATTTTCAGGATCAGGATCGGTCTCAATTAAATACATGATGAGTACGCACACACCAATCACAATACATGTGAAACACAGTTCGAATGTTAATATATGAGGAATGCAGCAAACCCGACGCCACCTACAAAAAAATATTAGGAAATTAATATTTTGTTAAGTTACTAGATGTATTAAGAGAGTATATTCTATGTTATGAACACTTATTACACTGAAGTAAATCCTTAATTCATAGACTGACTGACATGTACATCATCACATTATCGTCATTACATCATCACATTATCGTCATCATCAACATCACTGCATGGATGGCGTAGTAGTTTAAGCAGTCGCCTCGCCGCTTCCTACTGCACTGAGTGTTGTGGGCTCGATCCCCATATGGAACAACACTTTGTGTGATCCACAAATTGTTGTTCTGGGACTGGGTGTTCTTTGTGTCGGTTTCGTGTATGTTTGTGAAGTCGTCGAACTGTGTCGACACATGATTTATTCCTAGTGTGTGTTTCTTAAAAAAAATGGACCTCTCCTTAAAAAATAGGTTTTGGCCTACTATACCACGCTGGTCACACGGACAGTTTCTTTCTAGTTTTCCTTCTCTCTGCAGTGCTGTTGTCCTGCGTAGTAGGATGAATAGTGACATTTTGTATTCTTAATCCGTCACTACACGGACAGTGTACACTTTGTGTGATGTAAGCTCCCTACGAAATAGCGTTATTTTTTTTCAATCAGATTATGTTAGGTATACAAAAATGATTTTGTGTGACCCTTCAGTTGCTGATTTCAATAGGCGGCGCTAGTGATCAGGTGACCTGTCTGCTCGTTTGCTTACTTATACCATAAAATAATAATAATTTATATTGTACATCGCTTGGGGAAGGCTGTTTAAAAGGTAAGTATTGTCAGTAAAATAATAGAGTTTCATTAAAGATCTTCTGTCAGACGCTTGGCGATTTTATAAAAGTAGATTTAAAACTCTTATAATGTTATCATAACTTACTTCCATCCCGAAGTGGAAGCCAAAGGTTTAGGTCGGAAGGCCCTCGCGAGCCTGGTGCAGATACGCCCGTACTGACATTCGATAGCTTCAGCGAGACTTGCGATCATTTGCACCACCATCGCCTCACCTTCCTGCCCAACACCGCTCTTCATACCTTCCGTAAAATGAAACCTGAAGTCATTTAACAGTATACATAAATTATTACACTTATTTAGGTCAGTAGGCACTGATTACAATATCTTGCCATAAAGTATTTAATTTATCTAATATAATTAAATCTGAAGAGCTGTTTTTCAAAAAAAATAAAACAAAAAACACTAAGACATTATTTAATAATGTCTTAGTATTGTTTTGTTTTTATTGGGATTTGGGGATTAGAAATTACCCAAGTATTTACTTAAGATTGATACATGTTTAACCTCTAAAAACAAAAAATATTGATTATTCCATATCAAGCATCATAAAAGCTTTGAAGGTTTTATTTTCTCGATGCCATGCCTTTACCTGGGTAAAATTTAATTAATAAATATTACACATTCTATAAGTGTGTACAAGCATATGATACTAAAAAACATGTTCAATGAATAAATTACTTTGAAATTGTGCAGTATAAGTGATTTAATATTTAATTTTAACTAATGTTTTATTAGGTTTACCTTATAGGTGTAGAGGGTAGCGCCCTTGGATCATTAGGGCCTGGCGGATGACAGAACACAACTTGTAGAGCTAGTAGTAAAGAACTGAACTTACGGCCTAGGGCCGATGTCAAGCCGCCCGCCCACCACCATTCATACCTGTGGAAACATTATTCATGTGATAATATCCCCGCCAGCCTCGGATGGGAATGAGGGATTAAGAGCGCAAGTAGTCTGAAAAGGTTTGGAGAGCACGTTAAGCCGTCGGTCCCAGTTGCTATACAAACATCTGTGGCAATCGTTACGGGTTGTTGGAGCCCTAAAAAGTTCAACAACAGTCTTTCTACAGGACTTCGATATCGCCAAGTGCTTAAGTTGTGGAGGTCTGATGGCAGTTGCTGCGCGTAAAATTCGAAGTTGAGCCATATTGTAGTAGACTTAAAGAATAGGCTCGGAGAAAGAAAAAGGAAGCCTCCGAAAAACAGTGATCAGAGTGGCCATTAAGACAGGGAACACATATATAGTTCCATATCGTCGCTTAATTCGTGATTTTTTTATTAGACTTAAAATCGTTTAATTTTGCAACTTATTTTAAATGTTTTTTTTTAAATGATAAAATAACGGTGTCTTTTGATTCTCTCTCCAATGACATACATGACTCATTTCGATAATTTATTACCTTTCGCGCTATTTGAACTAAAGCGACGATATATTTTTGTAAGTACATATTTACCGCACAAATCAATGCATATAGACATAGACACATTCATACATCCATACTAATATTATAAAAGCGAAAGTGTGTCTGTCTGTCGATCTGTCTGTTACCTCTTCACGCTTTAACCGCCAAACCGATTTAGATGAAATTGGGTACAGGGAAAGTCCGAGTCCCGGGAAAGGACATAGGGTAGTTTTTATCCCAGAAATCATCCTTTAAGGGGGTAAAAAGGGGGGTGGGGGTGGAAATTTGCATGGAGAATCAGTAACCGCTTAAGCGATTTATATAAAATTTGGTATGGAGATACTTTGATTCTGGAGGAAAGACATAAACTACTTTTTACTGCCATAGCCGATATTTACGCAAGCGGAGCCAGGGGCAAAAGCTGATAAAAGCTGAAAAAATATATGTCGATCTAAGTGTCAGTTGAATGCTTAATATTTTTATTTACCTATATCTCAAACGTAGAGATTTAGAAGTGAGAGTTGTGAGCTTACCTATCCCCTGTGTACCACAATACATAGAGCGCTATGTAGAGGGTGGCGAAGAGCGCAAAGCCGATGCCGACCGCGACGTAGGCCGGCACGCCCGCGACTGCGCTGAGCGCCGCCACGAAGAAGGCCACGTGCCACGCCGCCCACGACACCGCCCACGACCACGCCCAGCCCGACTCGCTCCACTGACGAGCGAAATTCTTCATCTCCTCTGTTATATCAAAACTCTTTTGTTGGGATGTGTCTTTACCATTTGTTTTACACAGACAGTCTGTACTACAACGCAAACTATAATATTTAACGTGTTTAAATATTAATGAATAATACTTATTATAATTTTTTAAGTAGGCATAACATTATACGACGTTTACAATTGATGGTTAAAATTTTAACATAGCTTAAGTACATAAAAATGTCAAGTTAATTATTTTATAATTTAATCAAATAATCTTACAAGTGTAACAAGACACACATCTGTCAATTTAGCTTGGATATATAATTATATATTTATTCACTTCAATGAAGTGTCACTGAAATTATGCTATGTGAAAAATAGAATAGCTAGACTTTCAGTAAACGAAGTAGGTCAAAGTAATTAGTGTTTAATCTCCTTAAGTAAACTCACCTTTAAGTTTATTGAGCAAAAAAGACTTCCCTGATCCCCATCGTGCGAACAGTCCCACAGTAATGGGAACTGATAAGCTCGGTTCGGACAACATGTCGGCCAACGCCGCGCTATACAATTCGTATCCTAACATGTTCTCGTTGTCTTCATTGGTATTTAGTTTACGAGCGCCGAAGATTTGTCCCAGTATCGTTTTGTTGTAACTCATGTCGATATTATAAGGTGTTTCGTTCATTTTATTCGGCTTGTACAGTAACTGGCTGTGCTTAGGATTACGTAGGAGAATTTCAACAATTTGCTGTGAAATGAAAGTTAAATAAACAATTAATCCCTTCAAATTTAAATTACATTCGTTGGAAAAAGGTGTATAATGTCATTAAAATTTGAATTTTTCGTTTCTTATGAAGATGTGAAGCTTGTATAGAAATTATTTAACGTACTTCTCTGATAAGTGTTAGTAATGTACATTAATGCTAATTAGATTTAATTTCATTAATTGCGAATTTTTATGTCTTAGCATGTTAATTGCTAATGCTAATATTATTTTGCTAATATTGCAATTTCGTTCGAGAAATTATGCAATAGAGTTTGTTCGCGATATGCTAGCTTTAGTCAATTCGTCACTTAACACAATCTATTTAAAAAAGTATCCCTATCTATTCACAAAATACCTATTTACAACGCTCACGTCACAATCCTCAAAACTTAAATTACCTATACCTACCCTATAATTAAACTTGTTGTTATTAAATACTATATAGCTACTAATTCTATGAACAACTATAAAACATTTAACAAAACACTACGAGAAAACAAAGGCATACAAAACAATACCTGCTAATTCTAAAAATTCAATGAATGATATTAAAAATATATTAATGCAATAAATAATCCTAAATACGTGCTTTATTTTAAAATAGACAATAAAATCATTTGCACTATCAGAAATACCATCAATCGCGCCATTATAGTACATATAGCATTAGCAGTTGTATTAGTATTTTATCACGAAGATTTATTAATATTATTAATATTTTATCGCGTTGATGCCAATGAGAAAGTACGCACTGTTCATATCCAAATAAGTTATAGTGTTGGCACTGCATATTTGTTCTAGCGATAAGAATTTTGAACTAAATTTTTATGTAGATAGTTTTGGTAAACAACTTATAGTTTTTTTACACTTGTTAGTTACTTAACGAAATTTGTAAGTATAATAGTCGTGTTGTTTTTCAAAGTCATTAATTTATGTAACAACAACTTTATAGATCCCAAACCCGAGACGACGTGCGGTTTTTGGTTGGTTCGATTTAGGCAGGAAAAGAAAAGGTTATCTCTTTCATAATTTGATTCCGTTTAAAAAAAATCTTATAAGAAACTAATGGCAACAAGCTATAGTCGAGATATAATGTGAAATGATACAAATTATTCTGTAGCTGTATAAAATTACTAGGAGAACTTACGATTTATTAGTTCCTATGAATTTATATTCAAAAACAATAGGCATGTTTAGTTAAACTGAATAATTTGTTTTATTCAACAAAACTCGAAGACAAAAATACATTGACTTTTTCATAGAAGACTAAATTAATTAAGTATACCACGACGATACGTTATAATAGTTCATTGATTTTGTTTATTACTGATACATTTTGCTGTTGTCTGTAATTGTAATTTAGGCATCAATCAAAATGATTTAATAACCGCGGAAACAAAATAACTGCAAAATAATGTAGTATGTTTTATTGTGTCTAATACGTATTAAGTCTGTTTTAATTTTTACTATTAGGTATTTAGAATAAAAAATACTTTTGTAGTAATGTACATATTTTCAGTTTCTGGTTTACAATTTAGAGCTACAGTCAAGGAAAAACGTTCATGGGCGGCGATGGTCACTTTCCATCAGATGTATCCTGCTCGTCTGCCCCGCCTCCCCCTCTAACATGAATAAAACTATTATTACTTTAATCTTCCTATTAATATCTTACCTTCGAGCGTGCCCGCATTGCAATGTGTAGCGCAGTGTCCCCCCGACTGTCTGCTACATTGACACGCGCTTTTCTTTCTAATAAGAGTTGCACCATTTCAGCATTACGAGATCTCACAGCCCGCATCAAGGGCGTGTCTCCTGTCTGTAACACAACAATAATTGGCTAGACACATATGGTATGAAAAATATTATAGCAATATATCTAAATGTAAAAACCGACACCTGCTTGCGTACCTTTCTAATTGGTAGGCCTGCGACTGTCTGTTAGTCGAAATCAAAATATTCTGATATATTAAAGGTAAAGTCTCTAATAACCGGGCCCCCTAATCTTAACATAGGGAACAACTTAGGTTTCCACCAAAACATCTTTATGAAAGAGATTATGTGTGTTGTGTTTATTAGATTTCTATTTTAGCTTCTACACTGTCGTTATTCAAATGTATTAAGGGTTTCTAGTATTCTAACTTATTGATATACAAAGCACAAGAGACAATAATAAAGTTCTCAGCGTTTTTGTATTAGTATAATGTACATTAGACAAGAGTCAATTATTAGTTTAGATACTATACATATTTGGCATAGAAGAAAATCCTGATTACATAATATACAAGCCTATTTTATAGTAAGCACATAACTCTCTAGGCTAACACATTACAACAGCTTTGCAAAGTAAATTGATATAATTACTTGATACTAGTTATGAATTATCCGTGTAAGTGTATGGGGATTACCCATCACATGTTTTCCACTGTTTGATGTATTCTTAGTTATAGCCTAGTATAAAGCATTTTCTAGATCTCTTACTTGGTGTGTTTATTGACTGTGGGGTAAAATAAAAGGTACATTGTTACATTGTCTGTAATCTAATCTGCAATAGTGTATATTATTTTCTTAAAAAAATATTACTAGTAACAAGGTCTACCCCAAATATTACTATTAAAATACCATTTTATAGTGTACTATTAAATTAGTGTATATAAGTGTAGTATTTGTGAACTTCAGAAGTGGGTTCACGTGGGGGTTCGAATTCGCAACCGCAATACCAATACTTTAGGCATTACAATATTGGCAATTTATTACACGGTCAGGTTAGAGAGTTATTAATGTGATTACCCTCTTGATTCCATAAATCAGATGGTAATCACATTAATAACTCTTAAGTAATCTATATAAATAAAAATATTGCAGAAATGTTTGTGTACGCATAACTTCCGAACTACTGTACCAAATTTGATAATACTAACAAATCGAAAGAATTTTTTTTTAGAGTCTGCATACCATCGGCGCTCTCCAAAAAGAAAACGAAGAATATATGACATTACAAGGCATTAGATATATGGTCGAACTATTTTATTGTAATTTAATTTCAGTACATGGTCGTATGGGAGAAAACTACGCAGAACAACAGCACTGCAGAGAGAAGGAAAACTTGACACAAACCCTTTTTTTTTTTTTTTTTTTTAACGTGTGGAAATCCCCACGGACCGTCACCCCACCGGGGTTTGCGGCGGGGTGGTGTGTCGGACTCGAACCGACTAAAACCACACGGTGTGCCCTCTTTGCGCTTCCAGTTTAGGAGGGGTCCAGGTAGTTATCGCCTTCTGGACCCCTCCTAGCGCCGGCCCGCTCCTATTGCGGGCCCCGTCTCAAAATTTTCCTCTCTTTAGGCGACGTCCGGCACACGCGGACGCCGCCCCCTCGCGGCTGGCCAAACTAATGCGGGTGGAGGGGAAACCCACCCCGTCCACCCGCGGCCACACTCTAGGCGCAGGTAAGCGCGCCTCCGCCGCCCGGTTCGCCGGTGGCGGATCAGGTCCGAGTGGAGGTCGTCCTCCCGGGCCTTCTCCGCCGCCTCCTTCTGCGAGATTACCTCCTCGCAGAAGGTTGCGACCGCGGTAAAACAACTGTCGCTACCGGCCATGGAGCGAATTACGGCCGGTAGCGAGAGATCTGCTCCGATGACTTCAGTGAGGCCCGGCGCTGCGTCGCCCATGCGGGGCAGACCGCCAGCGTGTGCTGGGCCGAGTCCTCACTGCAGTCGCAGTGGTGGCAGGCGGGACTCAGTTCCCTCCTAGCGACCGAGTGCAGGTACTTTCCGAAGCAACCGTGCCCGGAAAGCACCTGCGTCAGCCGGAAGGAAAGGGTCCCGTGCTGCCGCCCTGCCCACTCGGCGATGACCGGCTGGAGAGCCTCCACGGCGGCGAAGCCAGCGCGTGGAGTCTCCAGCCGGAACGACCAACGAGCCATCGTGGCTCGGCGAGCGGCTTCGCGCCACTCGCGCACGTCCTCGGGCGGAGGGCGAAATCCGCTTTCCGCCCGGAAGTCAGCCACTCGCCGATAAACTTCGGCGGGATGCGGGCAGAGAGCACCCTCTCAAAAAGTTTACCCGCCTCGTCCAGCAACACGATAGGCCTATAGGCCGCGACCGATTCGGCAGGCCGTCCCGGCTTCTGCAGCAGGACCAGCTTCCCGCATTTCCAGCGCTCAGGGAAGCGTCCGGACGCCAGGCTAGCGTCCAACACCCCCCTGAGGTGGTCCGACATGTAGTCGAGGGCTCGGGCCATCACTCGGGCTGAAACCCCGTCCGGCCCGGGGGAGACTTGACACAAACCCTATACCAACCCGTCTGGCCAGCGTGGTATAGTAGGCCAAAACCTCCTTTCTAAGGAGAGGCTTATGTCCAGCAGTGGATTATTAAAGGCTGTTGATGTTGATGATGATGATGACATGGTCGTATTGTAAACGGCAGAGATTGTCTCATTTTTTTGTCATACTTACTTCTTAATTTGACGGGTTAATCACTTTCGATACATTAAACGTGTCAATATATGGAATTAGGTATTGATAATATCCAATTGATATGAATTAACCGGAAGTGTTACATTTCCTTAGTCCGCGACTATACACCACTCGTGTTAAGCCGAGGCATAAATAGTAAAACAAGTCGTTCAGGAATTTCGATAATATTCACGAAAAAAAAGTGGCCATACGGAGTTCGCCTCGTAAACTAGTTAAATATAAATACTCACAATTGTACTATGTTCTAAATCAGGATTGGAAGCCAGCAATAGTTTCAGTATCGCCACATGTCCTTTTTCTACTGCTGTGTATACGGGGGTTTTCTTTTCCTTGCCTGGAAGGTCAACATCTACATGCTTTTTCAATAATGCTTCTACGATATTTTTGTGTCCACCTTTTACTGCGTGAATGAGCGGGGTATCTTTTGATTGGTCCTATTAACATTAAAAAGAAAAGTTTTTAATAAATATAATGATAATACAAGACAAAACAACATTAAAGTTAAAAGCTCATTTATGCTTCGTTTAAGGACCATAGACAATAAGCATGTTTGATAACATAAATGGTATTAAAAAATAGTAGTTTAAGGATTTAGAATAGTAAAAAATTGTGAATAGTATTTTAAAAACTCAGATTTCGTCACGTCGCGTCGGCTTTGTTGAAAATGCAATGCAATCACAATGTGACAAAGCGAAGCTTGGAAGGGAACAGCTAGTATGTTTTAAATGTGAATGAAATTTACCTGAACGTTAATATAAGCGCCGGAGTTAATAAGTGCCAAAGCTATATCGTAATATCCTTCTTTACATGCAATGGCGAGCGCTGTGTAGCCATCCTTATCTAATGCGTTAACATTCGGTTTGTGTTCTAGGAGCATCTGTACAATTTCGAAGTGATTACCTGCAAATGAAAAAAACACGATATAAAATTGTAGACGATTACTTAAAAGGCGGCAACACACTTGTCATTCTGCTCATCAGACGGCCAAGTACGAGTTTCACTTCTACTAGATGTTCATGGTGACCGTACTAAAATTTCCACCAATTGCAACGCTAAACGCGCTCGCTATCGCGAGCGAGTCGGTGTGATATAAACTTGCACTCAGACCTTAGGTGACAGCCTGCTCCTTGCCCACTATCCAAAAAAATATATAAAAAAACAGGCTATAAATTACATTTAAAAATGTACACGAACCATATCAATAAAATAAATAAACATAACAGATCGACGGGCCTGTTGGTCTAGTGGTTAGTGACCCTGACTGTTGGACCGGAGTGACCGGAAGTCGTGGGTTCGATTCCCACCCAGAAAAATTATTGTGTGATGAGCACGGTCATTTGTTCTATGTCTGGGTATAGTTTATAGATAATATGTATGTATTTAGAAATATATAGTATGTTTATCAGCAGTCTGGTTGCCACAGTACAGGCTCTGCCTAGTTTGGGATCAGACAGCCGTGTGTAAGATGTGTGAAGTTATTATTATCATCAGACTACTTACGTAAGCACAATACCTACTGTTAGTTTTTTTACATCAATTAGTTAAAATTATGCACGCATTAGTATCAAAAGTAATAAGGATATACTAGTATTACATTGACTTGGAGTCGAAGAAAAAACGATAAGGTTCATAATTACGTAGTAAATAAAATTGCTTCCGAAGTTATGATACTGTGAGCAAATGCGTAATTTAAAGCTTCAAGATTCAGGGATTTTCAACTAACTTTAGATACATACGTAGTGTTGATTTATATTATTAGTAAAATGTTGTATAACTTACCGTGTGTAGCTTGCAGCAATGGGGTCCAACAATACATTCCAGCAGTGTTCGGATCAGCACCAGCACGAAGTAACGCGCTGCAAGCTATGACGTCACCAGCTCGTGCCGCCCACGTCAAGGCCGAAGTTGCGTACTTGTCGCATGAGTTGGGGCGAGCACCGGCCAACAGAAGACGCTGCACTACAACACTGTGCTTGCGGCCTGCTGCCCATACTAATGAACTGAAATTATTATAAAAATAATTACTTTTAATGCGCCTGGATCTTGAGGAATTGTAATAAACTGTTTTCTTCATTTCTTAATTTTCCACCCTCGGTGATAGTTTTTTTTTTATCAAATTTAAACGGAATCAACCAGGAAGTATATTCATTCTTCCCTTCCAAATAAACGAATAATTTGCCAAATCGTTTCATAATTGACGGAGTTCTGAATTGACAAACATAAAACATATGTGGCAACTGACTATGTTAACTACCCACGTAAAAACCTTAATGGCGAAAAAGTTTATCCCCTTTTGAATCAAAATGGAAATATAAAGTAATGTGATATAAATCCATACTAATATTATAAATGCGAAAGTGTGTATGTCAGTCTGTGTGTTATCGTTTCACGCTTAAACCGCTGAACCTTTTTACATGAAATTTAGTATGGAGATAGCTTGAGTTGTGAGATAGGACATAGGCTAAGCTAAGGCTTTTTACCACGATAACCGACACACACACATGCGGAGCCGCGGGCAAAAGCTAGTATAAGTTCGAAGTAGACGCAATAAATAATACTGTACAAGATTATAAAAATTAGAGCTCATCGACTCATACTCATGCGAGACATTTATTTGTAGGTCAAGTCCAGCTCAGTCATTATTTATATAACAACACAAAGGTATATTTTTAATAATAATAAAAAATTAAGTAACAAGCATGTACATTGTTAAGCAAAAACTTGATGTAAACTAGACATGGAACTAACCGCAAAAAGACATGCATATGATTCTGTATTATATTAAACTTGTTAGATTTTATTGCAGTATACGTAATGACAGATTTTAAAGTTACATTGTTATAATATAAAGCACACAACGAAACTCAATAAATATATTATCGTATTACAACCTCCTTACTACTTTGGAACATTCAAGGTAAAAAAATGAGTAAAAAGTATTATTTTAATCTATTTTTGACATGCAGATTTAAGTCTGGAATTAAAATAGCTGGCGAATGAACAGTAAACATGTTAATATATTGACTACAAAAACACGACATACTTGATATTGTAATGTCCATGTGCATGCACATCTGCCCCTTTTTCTAGTAGCAACGTCACAACCTCTTCATGGCCCTTGTATGATGCCCAGAGCAACGGAGACCAACCGCCCTGAAAGAATACAAATTTTCATAACTTCACGTAAGTATTTACTTCATTCCTTAGTATATAGATTAACATGATTGACTAACATGCTATCATAGTAAAAAGTGAAAATAAAAACAATGTTGTTTATAGTTTGTTTGTTTAATCGCTTTATCTCTGCAACTAACTTTATTGATTTCATCGAATACACATTAATTGACGAAGGTTATATTAAGCAAATGTCATCACACTACTCCCCTTAGCAGCCGGTCAGTGCCCTTAGTCGTATAGGTAGGTATACGCAGGTGAATTTACGGGACAGTTTTACAATATAATAAACTTACTTAATATTTTCGTCCATATTTTTTCCTAACACAAAACTTACAGAAACATTGGATTAAGTAGGTAATTTAATAATTATAGAATTACTGAAATGGCAATCTCATGACTTATCATTTAAAAAGTAGAATACCAAATCGTTTTACTGGTTAAGACATTGTTCGGATTATTTAATATGTTGAGTATAAGTTTTTTAAACAGATTTTACACGGATAAAAGTTTCCAACAAAACAAGAATTCTGAAAATCGCTTTTAACCCTCTTTAAGTAATCTGGTAACATATATACAAATATTCAAGATTGATTTGAAGATTTATATTATCATTATCATTAACAGCCTTTACTAGTCCACTGCTGGACATAGGCCTCTCCTTAGAAGATTTATTTACTATTAAAAAAAACACTATCGACAAATTAGTAGAGCTCTGTACAATACAGTGCTAAGAAATATTTTCTCAGTTTGTGCTAAATATCAATAATTTACTAGTAAAATAAAACTTTGAAAAAATATATTTTCAATATTTCTGTCAGCAGCTGTCAGTGTCGAGAGACGAGAGACAAAAACATTTACTAATGCGTATATCATGACCCCATTCTATGTTTGACCTTTATCTAATTATATATTCACCAAAAACTCATGATAAACGTTCACTTTGTTTGCCAAATACCTTTATAATGAATTTGTAGCATGACGGAAATTAGAGAATTAACTATGACTTGGTCTGATATCGATAGTTCCACTAGAGATATTATATTTATTTTGTAAATAAATTTTATTCGTATTTTAGAACGTGTTTGGATGTCAGTGACATCTTGGCAAAGATCCACGTCAAGTATAAATATACTAATTTTGAGTACACAGTCCAGAATACGTTTTGGTCATTGCTCTAATATAATTATTGTTGAGGTTATACATTGTGCAGTGCATTCAAGTACTCTATTTTATTAATTTTCCTATGTTGACATAACGAGAAAATAGTAGGTAAAAATAATAATTTTATTCAATAATAATTATGACTGTGGGCAAGTGTCTACACTAGGAATACGAGTAATTTTCAGCATTTGCTGTGACATGTATGTACTATCAGCTGTCAAATTGTAGTCGCCACCAAACTGATGTTTAGCACTAAAAGCCGAAATGGAATCCCAAAAACTGTGATGCCAAAATGAACTAAAGTGTTAGATGACTATACATTATTTTCCTAATAGGTTTCTTGGATCTCTTATAATTTTGTTTAGATGTGTGTAGTTTCTTTTATCTTTAAGTATACTTTTTTATCAACAACTGTCTGTTAATGCGTAATTAGGTATGTCTGGATTCCAATGTTGTGGAAATGTACAAGTAAGCGCTTCGTACTAAAGAACTCATTTAGTATGTAATAACATTTTTAAACACATTATAACATTATTAGAGTTATAAAATTTATGAGTTTTGATAGAATATTATGTCTAACTGATAGTTATCGAAATAGTAATCTACGTTTAATGCTTTATTTTAAACATTTTAATTGATAATACTGTATCGGGTTGATTTCGACGAAATTTCTACTCATATTATATATTATATACATAAGTACCTAATAATATTCTGTTTATACCTGTACGTATTTTAAAATTTGGCGCTCTAGGTTTAATGGAAATTGCCGCCACCGTAATTTACGAAAATAAAGGATTAAATCGAGCGACGACCTATCTAGGCTTTTAGGCTTGATATTTTGATTCCTCTCATGATTCACAACAAAGCTTTTTCCACTTGATTTATTCTAGTAACAAAAAATCTCCTATTTAGACCTATCACTAAAAGGGTTTTAAAAATTTTGGCTATTCTTTTAATAATTATTTTTACGTGTGGATTTAATAATTATTTTGTCAAATAGTAAGCAAATAAATTTAACAAAAATCAAACCCATACAAAATCTATGATATGCCTGTGCCGATCTACAACCGCCCGTTTCCAAGGGGTTGAGCCTTATGAGAAGAAAGGGCCAAACTCATGGCCACTCTTTTGCAATTCACAGGTAGACGTGTTTCATACTTACACAGTCCCTTGAGTCTACTTTTGCACCAGCATCTAATAAGTCCCTAGCAATGGCGAGGTGACCACCTCGTGACGCGAATGCCAGTGGGGTCCAGCCGTCGGTATCTGCAGCATTTGAATCCGCACCGGCCCCCAAGAGCAATCGCGCCGCAGCCGCGCGACCATTTTCCGATGCCAGCATAAGGGCCGTCGTGCCATTCTGTGTTTAAAATAAATTGCTCTAATTTAGTAGTCCATTGGTAAATAAATCTATTAATCGCTCATATTCTGAAGAAGTGTATTTACTCATGCGTCAGTTTAGAAACATAAGAAACAAGAACAGTTCCTGTAACATAAGAAATCGACTGTTCTGGAGTTCGATAGCAAAAAAACTCAAGATGTTTGCTAAAAAAACAGCAAGGCTTCCATTTTTTTTAAGATAATCCCTAATTGTTTTTATTATATTAAAGCATAGAGCAACACAGACCACCAGCGTATTAAAGTTACGTATTTATCTAGCTATTAGGTATTACAATTAAGGATTAAAATCTATAGACGATGTAAACTGTAAAAATATTTTATTAACATACTAGTTTAAATGGCTTAAACATAATAAAAAAACATAATCAGACAAAATAAACAATATTTCCACGTGTAATAAATGCATGACTGTACATTTCCAGGAATTATTAATGTTCCAATCAATGAATATAAGTAGCTAAAATAAAGTGAATTTAGTGATAAGATACATTATGTGAAATTCTGACTATTAATCGTGAAATCAAATAGTATCTATATATATATATGAAATTAAGTAATTGTTTTTTTTCGGTATCGATCACAGATATACCGAATCAAACGAAATCGGTATATCTCTGGCCGTGCCTTGTTAATGACGCAACAATCAAACTTATCAAAAAGTATCAGTGTTGGCGATCTGTAGCTTTTCCTTCCTTTTCTTTTACACTTGCAGTGGAGTAGGTCAGTAAGTTTATACAGCCACACCCATCGTTTAATTTATCTTCTAAGTAAATAGCGAAGGCTACTTTATAAATATGAAAGAACCTCGAGTATAAAGTGTTATAAAGATAAACTAAGATCTTCGAATGTGTTACAACGATTCTTAGCAAGCTCTTGTGTCCTAGCGGTTCAAATTTTTTTTCGAGGTAAAGAGGGAGTAAACTGTTCTGTCTTTCCTAATTAACTTGTATCAGAGATCGCTTGGTGGTCTTGTGTCAACCGCATTAAATTTCTTAGTTTATTTCATTGGCCAGTACCTATAACTTCATCTGTCCTTGTATAGACTTTTGCATCATTACAAGTCAAAATATTTAGAGGATCCATAAAGGTGTGTTGTGTTGTGTGAGGATCCATATAGTTTTAAACTTCACAGCGCACATTGCTAATTTTTTTAGCTTTCTGTATGTCTTCTACATTTAAGCTTTAAGTATTCCGAATTTCACATCCCTGTCTCAGCGCGTTTGCTCTCCTCTCGTATGTATATATAGATAGGTATATATTTACTACATCCGTCTTTATAAAGCATATTAAATTAATTCGGTGAAAATAAAATTTCACTCCAGATAACTATAAGTTGGCTTTTTAGGAGAGAGCGTATATTTTTTTTATTTTTTTTACAAAATAGAATTTAATTTCCATTTATAATTTCTCACACTCGAAAACAAATATATTACTTTTTATATGTTATTTACATTCCATTCCGACCATAATAGCAACAATTACTTGCAATGATTTTAGTGCGTTAAAATGCATGTAAGATCAAAAGAACACTTAAAAAAATCAAAACATTAAATGAAGAAGGAGTATCCAGCATTTTAGAAAAAAAAATCTTAACCATCTTAAAACCTTAGTAACTAGGACCAAGGACTAAAGATGAAAAAGCAAAAAACAAGTAATCGTTAAATTCATTAAGAACAAGTATAGTACGTCTTACCTCGTCTTTATCATCGATGTTAACATTCTTGTTAGAGGCAAGATACTGTTGCAGTTCGCCAGGGCTATCGCTATTGACAAGCTGCGCGAGCGTCCTGAAGCACGCCAGTGACAACATCGACTCGCTGCGGTGCAGGCTCTGTTTGTCAACAACAAAATCATGAGTTACATAAATCATTAAAGTAAGTATTAAGTGGGCGATCATAACAGATACCTAGCTACGTTATAGATCAATCTGATTTATAAATATTATCGAGAATGCCACATCTTAGAAATTCAATCATCTCAATTAATAATTTTCTATATGCAATACTGAAAATTAATCCTTTCGCCTTAAATCAATATGTTTCGATTTAAATTGAAAATTAATTAGAATTTGAAATTTGAATCGAAATATAAGTCAGAAAAAATGAATATATTATTATAAATGTGTACAGATTTAAAGTATGTTCCTATAATAATACTTGTCGATAAACAGCATAATAACGGGCCGGAACCTACGACTGCAGATTACCAGCTCTTCTACAAGATGTTTTTCATCGGCTTAAGGAAAGTGTCAAGTGTAACCGGTTGAAATTTTAATACCACGTTTAAATATCGATATTAATTGCACAAATATATATTAATTTTAATTATTAGCACAGAAACACAAGGACACAAACAATGATTCAGACACTAGTAGTTCAATTATGTTATAAAAAACAGTACCATCTCATGATACAAAATCAAGTAATATGTACTATAAATCAAAGCATATATTATACACTTAACACTCTGGTGTATCTATCTACCTCGGTAGGTTGTAAACTGAAACGTAGTAATGATGTAACCATATTTTAAACGAATATTAATTAAATTTAAAACACAACCAATCTTCAGCAGAAACTACTCTAGAACAAGTCAACATTTACTCGACACAGTTCGCGACATAATGAACACAATTTATAGATATAGTGATAACAAGTGATATCATAAGGTAGCCCAATATAATAAATAAGCCTCAAGCTACACAACTGATTATTTTCTTTGTTAGTATTGTGAAAAAGGCGTGCAAAAACTAACTTAATGCTTATTATAATGCAACTTAAATTCAATTACATATGAAGAGCGTTAAGTACAGGTTAGTTTAATCTAGCTATAGTAGCTAGATTAAACTAACATTTTACGAAGTGTTGCTATTGTCTCGACTCACTCCTTCCAATACTTTTAATTGCAAATTAACTCGAATACTTTTAAATGTAACAGATACCTGTATTAAATTCGGAATTTGGAATTGTTAAGTTTGTAACAAAACAAAGAAACAGAGTTCTAAAGATTTGATGTAACCCTATCTGAATTAAAACACTACAGTTCATTTTTTTATGAACCTATTTTCAATGGTATTTAAAATAATTTGGTGATTTAGGTACAGGTGTTTTTTTGGTACAAGCAAGGGATCAGTGTAAAATATGAATTCATACGGACACTCGCACGCAGCATTCATAATATAATTTAAAATCCATGCAGTTCGTCAGAATCAAAAGCGAAATACTATATAATTCCAATATCACATTAGTTTCAAGCACTCGTAGATACTTTAGAGACGAAATCAGTAGTTAACCATAATCACAACACATATAACTTTGTTATTGCTAGGTCAGACCGTGTTAGAGTGTCTTCGAAGTGCAAAACCGTGGAATGCAAAGCCGTGGCTGAAGCGGCGTTGTTCTCCAGGAGGTGCAGTGACGGTGAACCGGGGAACGGTGAGGTGAACACCTGCCGAGTGTGGTCCTTCGTGCTCGTTGCGTCCGACCTGCAGGTGCAGGAACGAGGGCCGTCGATGTTTATGGTGGTGCGCTGTTGGTGTCTCCAACATAGATCCGGCGATACTGTTGCTTTTCATACGTGGCGGCGGTGGTATAATCTCTTGAGCCGGGCTGGCTTCGGATCTTTCTGATCCCGAATTACTTCGTTCTGTATCTGAGGACGACGGCGATTCCAAGACCACGTCCTTGGGTAGCGTAGAAGGAGGTCTAGATACATTTTTTGGTTTATGTATATTTGCGATGAGACACCGTATGTGTACGTATTCATTGTCAGCACTAGTCGAAGGATCCGGGAGTTGCGGATGGAGGGACATGTTGCGCCGTCCCTCAGCATAATAAGACGCGCGAACAGCCCGGCTCCTGTGAGAGATTAGTGAATGTGATGATCGAACCGCGCTACTAGCATCGTGACACGTCTCGTGTTGGGCGGATGGTTACTATTTAGAGCGCGCCACAGCGTGAAGTTGAACGAGTGGAGGGCGGCTATGAATGAAAAGCGTTTGTCAGTGTGACCATCAAAATGATTTAAAAGAATACTGTATTTATATACTCAAATTTTTGCAAATTGAAATCATTGAATAATTGTATGACCCCTTAAATATTACTTACTTTACAAAATTTAAAATAACCTAACTTCTCTAGTAAATTAATCTAAGCAAAACATGTTTTTTTAAGATTAGAATATATGATTTAATAACCATTTTTAAAGAGATAAAAATTTACTCACCTATGATTAAATAAATATGTATGACAAAAACTTTTTCAATCCAATGAAACATTATTTATTAAGTATATAATCGTCTAAAATAGAAGACCACATTAATAAAATATGAGGAACATAATCCAAAACCACAGATATATGTTTTAAAGCAAACAAGAAGTTCGTTCAAACGAAATTATACAATAATCGATAAACATAGGTTACTTTGTTTGCGGTAATCATTACCGGGTCATATACATATGTTTGATTTAAATAATCTTATATGGTACACGGGTAGTTTCGTAGATGTGCAATACGTACAAGTGAGTACGTGCTATATGAGCGCAGCGAGATGAGTTTGAAGATCGCGGATGCGGAGCGATGTGCGGCTCGCTCTGGGGGCAGCATAGTTGCGCGGCGTCTGACCGGACTATGTCGTCTCAAGTCCGAGACTTTGAGAGCCAGCTACCGGCGAACTCGTTGCTCTCCCCGCCGCCGACCAATTCCAATTACGTGTATGTCGTACGTTACGGTGTACGTACCCTTCAATCCATCCTTTATCTTAAGTCATAAGCTCAGAGTTTAGCTTTATTATTTCATAGCTTAGTGGTAAGTGGGCTGGTTTTTTTATTACATACCCATTTTATTCATGTAGGATAAGGTCACATAAAATGTTACATTAAGAATATATTAAGACTAATTTGTTTCGTAGAAATTTCATTCATCCCAGCAGTTGTAGCAGTTTGTTTTAATTGAAAAACTATTCTGTAAGTATATCCTATTACTAAACGATCACTATCAGTCATACCTCTGTTCTATTGGCCATCAATAAAATATCGAGTCAATTTGGTTAAGAATGTAAATAATATTATTAATGTTTGTGTATGTATATGTTTATGTAAGGTAAGTATTTAACATAAAGTAGGCGTCGAATACATACTATAGTTTAGTTAGTAATAGAGAAAAAATTAACCCGTAAGCCTAAATGATACCCATAGAATTCTTTATTGTTGAAGCTTTTAAATATGGAAAGCATTTTAAGTGATTTTTTATGGTATCAGGGGGGCGAAGGAGCAGACGGGTCACCTGAGGATAAGTAACTATCGTCGCACATAAAAACCTGCAACTGAAGTTCAAAGTTTGGGCTCAAGAAACTCACAGTGAAAATCAACGACAGAGTTGGATAACACCGTTTTTGTATGAGGCTTTATATCACTTGTGTTATCGCAGCTATGGTAAGCATTTCATTTAATTGGTTGTTCAAAATAAAAATAACAGCATAATCTTTAAAGAGTCATAACGGTAATCAACTTAATTAAAAGTTGTCACAAACGCAAACTTAAATTTAAACGTTATAGGTTTCGAAAGAGGTAAACTCTACAAGGGATATAATGATGGCGTAAGAACATAGTGGAAAGTACAATGGAAGTTACAGTTAGAAATATCAAATACAATTTTTACTGTATGCCTTCTAGACGTAATTATTTCCACTGATTTTACGAATTTTCTACGTTTTTGTTTCACTTAAGTAGTTCACTTAAGTAAGTATCGCTATCTCCGATAAATATTTTATTAGCTATTTTATTAAACTTTTGTTAAATCGTTTTCTTTTTTATCTATCAGATATGCTTTTAAATTAAATTATTCCTGACCTACAATAAAACGGCTTAGTGAATTTTTAAGACATCAAAACCTTAGTAAACCCACAAGAGATAAGGTTTATCCTCTGACATATCTTTCTACGTTTTTATCAGTTATGAACTTTTAAAATAAGACCGACGATATCAATGGCAGTCTGGCAGTCATCTGCTTTTAAAAAGCTATCTCGATTTGATCTATTTAATGAACAGTAACAATTTTGGTCTAAAAAAATATTAAATTGCTCTCGCTAAGTATCCATAAGACGTAACATGCACATAAATATCCACATCAAATTTCCATTAATATTGTGGATGATCTCAGAATCAATTCGTTAAACACATCTATTTCTAAAACAAACTGACCGTTTTCAAAATATAATTAGTTTTGGTTGATCATAATTGGTCGGGAACATCTTAATAACCTAACTATTCCTTTACAAGGCAATAGATTTAAACCAACAATTACCGCCACTAATCAATATTTCAATTTATTTATTTCCCGACCGATACTACAACCCGACTGATGTACAAATGTTATTAAATATGCCGACATACGTGGAATAGAAAAAATATTTAATACACATAATTACATTTGACGTCATAATGAAATAAAACCCCACGCATAGGTAAATTGTTAAACTCTTGTTACAGAGTTATCATAACCGGTCTATAGGACATCTAGTCTGTCTAGGATGCACATTACGGACAATAAATAAGAGCAGCGTACCGAGGTTAAGATCGGCAGCCTAAGTCGAGTAAAAAGATTAACGGGTTTGCAGGATTCCAGTGAAGCGCCATTGCTTGCCAGTGCCGTATAAACGGAACCGCGTGTTGATTATTATCTCATACAAATGGTGTACAAGATTAATGATCTAAAAACGTACAAAACCTTTTTTATACCTGTCCGTAAGCTCGTATAAAAGATGCGGCGCGAAACATTTCGGCGTACTATCATTAAGATAACCACTTGTAACAAGAATCAAATAAATTCGCACCTATGAACTACCGGCCCGATACTTGATATCGTTCTAGTCCATTACACCAAACATTCTGCAAGGTTTTCAGAATGTGGTCATACTTATAGCCTATCATGGTGGTTACCCTACGTTAAGCTTGAGTTAATATTGGACCGAAGCAGTATTCTTTAAACAGTAGATTAATCTGATAACGTAAAGTATACAAATTTTACGGCGCGTACTAAGTACATCTTGTCATATATAAAGTAGTGTAGAGAATATTAATCTTGAAACTGCAATTTGGCAATTTAAATATTACGGCAAAGTTAGAAGTGACCGTGATTTAATTCTACGATAATTTCGACAGAACGTTTTTAATATACCCATGTATATTAAATAAACCATATTAAATAAGTTCTGTATGTTTTTAGGTAGCGATTTTGTCAAAAAATGAGTGGGTTACTTGAAGGATTTTATAGAAGGTTATTCTCATTTATTAAGTTATATGCATGTATATATGCACGCTTGTGTCACCAAAATTAAATTATGCATATAATTTGGATAGTCGGCAGTCGTAAATAAAAACAAAAATTTATTGTTTTTTTTGCATAGAGCACACCTTAAACGTACGACGTAACTATATAAATTGATAAACCTTGAGATATTTCAGTCTAAGAGCATATTTATCGGCTAATAAATATTTATGAGCGGTTACATTATGTAATGTATTTAAAAAAGTACTGTCATGTTAATAGGTTATATTCTTCATCCCCTTAATATTCGCTTTATTGAATCCTTGTCACGCGTTACTCGCTCTGAGAGGATGGGAGCGAGATCGAAAAAATTGTAACAAGACATTTTTCCGACACTTCTTGCAAAACTTCGTTTCGAGCGGTTTAGTTTCGGTCCATAGACCCCTCACTCCATTTTTAGTTGTTTTTTTTTTAAACACACACAATTTTTTTTGATGCCTTATAGTGGGTTGGTTTGTAACTTATTAATTAAGTTTCAATAGCCTTAAGACAATTGCTCGTCATCCAACCTTTTATAAAAAATACTTTTCTCGATGCAGGGACGTTAATTTCTGAGGTCTCCTGGTGAATACATATGGTATCCCAACCATATGTATAACCATAAATTGATAAGCAAACATACTAAAGTATTTGAATTGCAAATCATGAAATAGCTTTGAGTAGTACTTGTGGCTATTTCTGGTCTTCATCATCAGCTTCACTTCACCAGATGGTGCTTCCCAATACCCATATCGCTATAGGTTTACTATAATGTAATACCTCGTTTTCACCAGGTCCTGATTCAGACCACAAAAAATGTTAGTAATAGGATTGGTTCCTTTGGTACTAATATTTTTCGGGAAGTATGTTCTTTCAATATAGATAGACTTATCGAAAAAAAAACATTTGGTGAACTGAAAACTTTTTTGAAGTCAGTTAAAAAATCATAAGCATTAAAATAACTATTAATTCATATGACAAAGTTTTTCAAGTAATATCTACAGAGAGAAAGGAATTGGTTTTCCATAGAGATTCGAAGAACTATAGAAGGTTGATAACGCGAGAAATGTTTGAGTTTAATGTTTTATTAGAATTATATCTATGTAAAACACAGATTAACTAAGTATCGGCTAAGGTCAATTTGCATGCTGTGGTACGTAGCGTCTTTATGTCGTTTATTAATATCAACATTCTATCTTATACGTAGGTCTTAAAAAAATTAAACTTTAGAATAAGTCTTCTTTCAGCGAAATTAGGTACATGTAGTCCCATGGAGTTTATGGAGTGATGGTGCGTTGACCGTGACCAGTTGAGAATACAGGTTACTTCTTTCGAAATCACAAGTTGACAAGAGCAAAATTAGTACATACTTAGTTTATATTACGATAAACAATCTTCTAGTATAGGCTGTTGATGATGATGATGATGAAAATAATTTACAATTTCAAACACCTAATGTTTCCCCCAGCGAGTGCACCAGTAATTAGACAAATTCTTAGTAAAACA